AAATCACTGTTTCTAGGACAATATATATATATATAATTATATAATTATATATATATACACATACATGATTGATTGAAGCATTGTGATTGGAAGATGTCATGAGTCATGGGATATATTTACTTAGCTTGATATGATAAATCAGGAAAACGATAGATTCTGACCAATCCTCATATGTTGGGTTCGGCTCGCGATGAGTAGATGCTGGAACAGAGGGAAACGTGCGGGAAACGTGAGGGAAAGCTGAGGTTGAGATGGTTGAACACGATTTAGTGGTGAGAAATTGAATCTTGGATAAACTCCTACCATAGAAAGTGACCAGTGTGAATGGACCGAATCGATATAGCAAGAAGTTGAGCACATGTTGTGAGTCATTCCTCAGAACTCAGCATTTCAAAAGGATCTTACTCCGATTGGGGAGCTGTGATGATGATGATGATGATGATGGTGATCAAGTCATTTCGATCTCTTCATGGTGGTTGACATCCTTACAGCAGCTGTCTATTCTGTCCAGAAAAAAGTTTTGGATGAGAAAACCAGGGTTTCGGAATTACATGAACTCATACAGACACCAACGCTCCGGAATATCAATGACATTTGCATCCGGCTTCACCACCCTATCACATCTACTGACAGGAACACTATCACATCAGTATTGCGGTCAAAAATTACATTCATTAAAACATATTAAAACCCATCCAATTTGGGTTGTGGTAATTTCTGATCAGTCTATATTTCACATTTGTGTCAGTTAAATCCCAAACTTTTGTTGGTTAAATCCCAAACTTTTATTCAATTATTGATAAATGGATTCCATTTATTGGCTGGTAAATCACAATTTTGGCTGGTTAAATCCATCATTTCCGTTAGAAAACACCATGTTTATCCATTTTTGCTGATTGATGCGCAATTTTTTGCTGGTCAAGTCCCAAAAAATGCTGGTTGAATCCTCATCTGCTGAAGTCCCAGGCAAGAGCTCAAGACGCTGAGCAGCTGGCAGAAGAGACCCTGAACCAGGTGCGGCTACGACGGTACTGTGGGTGAGTTTGGTGGATGTTAGGAGCCACAGCCTAACTGGGATCTCTGGAATCATAGGGACGGACATAATGGATATAATAGTATATAATAGTATATAATAGTATATATATATAGTATATATATATATATGGTCACCCCCCCCCTACGACCCCCCAATGTGTCATTTGTATTGTTATTTACAGCATAAAAGATGGCGGGTTGAGGGGGGTCGTTGGGGGGGGGCTGAGCATATATATATATATAGTATATAGATAATGGAATCAATGGAGAGAACCTGGATATAATGTCTGAAGATATGGAGAAATGGGGATCTGGGGAGACGACTTTGGAGACTTACCCGAAGGTGTAAGATCTGTTTTGAGTGGTGGCTCAGACCTGTATGGTCCTGTATGTATAAATTGATGAACTTGATAAGTCCGATAACCCTGATGAGTCCCAAATTCAAGTTAGGTTTCTTGAGCAACTTGAAACCAGCTGCAGGGGAAAGGACGGGAGCTGAAATAACTGGGGAGCCCCGGGCACCCTTGGAAGCGTGGAAGCCACAGGGGCAGCAGAGCAACATGGCTCGTTTTTGAAGTCGGAGCCCCAAGAAAAATCCCAGAACCACGGGCAAACAAAGAATTGAAGAGTATGGTGGATGATTTCCATTTCATATGGTGTGTATACTTTCCATATCATTCTCTCTCTCTCTCTATATATATATATGATATGAATATATCTATATATGTTCGTTTGCCGCCATTTTTTCCTCCAAATGTGTAGCTATGATGTTGGTGCAGCCCGGCAGATGATTGGTGGTGTCCCAAAGTTGGTGAAAATCAATTTTCAATGTTTCGCGAGAATACCGTTTTGTTTTTTTGGAAGATCTGAAATGTTCTTGCTGAAACAATCGCATCTTGAGTCATTTGAGCAAAAAAGCATCAATCAACCATCAATCAACCATCAATCAACCATCAATACCATCAATCAACCACCAGAAATCAGCATTTTCCCCATCATGTTCGTCATTTTTGTAGCTCATCAGTTCCGCAGTTCCCTATGTTTTTGCCATTTTTTGCCAGGCGTTGGATGCTGGTGCCATGGATGCCAGCGGCCTGAGCCAATTCAGGCGAGATGGAGATTTCCACCAAAACATGGGTGATGAAAAACCATGAAAAACATTTTTTTAAGCGCCAAAAGATGGAGATTGAATGAGTTGGATAAAAATGATCGAAGCAACAGAGCTGATTTTTTTTTTTAGCAAGAAAATGTGGTACGGAACCAAGGCACATGGTGATTTAAACATCAAGAATGGAGATCATGGGGTGAAAAGGGAACTGGGGCAGGCCGAACCATCAACAAACTGGCATTTGGGTATGTCTGAAAATGGGGTATACACCCAATTATAGCCATTTAGTAGGGATAATGATCATTAACCATTGGGTGTAGGGGTACACTATTTTCAGACAAACTGGCATTTACTGCAACAGGATCTAATGAGATTTGACCAGCCGAAATGGCGGGAACCAGTGGTTTCAACCATCAAACATGGTGGGATTTTAATGGGCTTCGAATGGGATTTAAAAAAGGTGATGAGTTTCCCCTCTGGTGTCCGAAAAACCTGGGAAATCGCAGAACTGGCATCAAGGTTTGTATAGCTAGATTTCCAACTGAACTCGAGAAGTTGGGCCTCAGCTGGGAATTTCACCAGGGGAGATGTCAAGGTTGATGTGGAATTTTCATCTCCAAATGGGACCACAACGTGGGCGGAAAAAGGGGACGGGCAATTCCGGCTGGGCGGATTGCAGGCAGCAGTTCATGCAGCAGAAGGCGCCTCGGTTAGCGGTTGAGAGCTGGACGTCGTATGAGCAATTGAAATGCCGTTCATGTTGAATAACCTAATGGGATTTTATGGTGATTTAGTGAATTTGAATGGCATTTTGTGGGAGAAAAGGGGATATATTGACCAAGTTAATGTGAGATATGGGTGTGTCTGAAACTAGGGTGCCCATGGGTGCCCCTAAACCCATTGGACAATGATGATCTTCCCCATTCAATTGGCCATGCGGGCCCATTTTCAGACACCCTCATATCGGAAAAAGACGGTTGTGTTTTTTTGTGAATGAATTACCCTCTGGTAATTTAACATAGCTATTGAAAATGACCATTTATAGTGGATTTTTCCCATGAAAACTGGTGATTTTCCATAGTTATGTTAGTTTACCAGAGGGTACTCTTGGTACATCACCTATTTTTGATCGGTTTTTGACCATCCGATCCATTTCGTCTCCGGGCACCCGCCAGATGAAGAAACACCTGAACCTCGCGCTGAAGTCTGCCGTAGAGTCAGGAATCTCAGGCGACAGAGCAAGGATGGACGATCAGAAAAAACCGTGAATCCTTGAAGGTTTCATGAAACCCCAAGGGCCTAAGGGTTGGTGCTGGTTCCATTTTCCCCCTTAGCCGGCAAAAAAACATGGTTGCAGTGTGACCCGGGTTGCCCATTTCCATTGGGGGTTGACCGGCGATGATTCGGGTATCCCGGAAGTGATACCCCATAGAATCCCCACATGGACCATGGATGACCATGGCAATTCTCTGGGGTTTACTATACTGGCATGAGAAAAAGCTCACCAGACGCCATGGTTCAGTGATGAGGTCTTGTGCTTGACAAGCTTCGAGGCCGGTAGATGCCTTAGCCAAAGAGGTGGGGGTGATGGAGAATTCCAATGGTTTCTCGAATATGGGTATATGGCTTTGTTTGAAAATGGGGTATACCCGGTATACCCTCCGTTTACGGCCATTTAATGGGGAAAATGATGATTGACCAATTAACCATCAAATTCGGAGGTTGCCCATCTTCAGACAATCCCAAATGTATTGGGATAGTTTGTTTAAGACTTTAAGAGTCCTGGAGTTCAGGGACGTCTTTACTTATATATGGGATAGTACGATTTAGAGCTTCAATGCGAGGCAGTCCATTCTGCAGCAGTTGAACACGAACATTAATCCGGGGGCTTTTTTTTAAACGATGACAACTCTTGTGAAAAGGCGACAACTTCTGTGATGATGGGCCCTGGCTCATTTGGATCTGGCTGAAACTTCTTGACCCTGCCGGCATTAAAGGCTTGTTCATTGTCACAAGAAAGGGGTGCAGCCCTGAGGTGGTCGTAAAAAAGCTCCCATCTAATCTTCACCCGCTGGCCACTCTGGTTTCGGTGACCCAAAACAGCTGAGGCATCTCGCCCTTTTGCGACACATCTGCTGTGAGATCTGAAGTTGGTGGATGGGATGCAAACCATTGAGAGTGTCCAACATGTTTACCCAAACATGATTTTTGGGAATGCCACACTTTTTTTGGGACTGTCCACTCTTAGCTTCAGTTTCCAATCGTTGGCTCGGGTTTGCAATGGGTCTCAGGCGAGGGAACTTTGAACTCATTCGCCAGATGTGGCTTTGGTTCACAGTGGAGACATAGCGGAGACCCATCCAGAGATTGGTATGGATCAAAATTCTCAACCCTCCAAAAAATGGTTGATTTATAAAATATATGGTCCCATATAGATTAAAATAGTGAACAATCACAACTTTTGGTCCTTTGCTACCCAAATTTTGACCCATAGATCGAAAGCCTCCCCAACTCAGCCCTACCGACAGTACAGCGGTGCACCACTCCTCGAGCTTTGCAACAAAAGGGCGGCAGGGCGATGAATGTTGAGGGTATGATGTATGATATGTATTGATATGTACCCTCTGGTAAACGTTTACATAACTGATGGGAAAATCACCATGCTATTAATGAGAAAACTCACTATAAATGGGCCATTTTCCATAGCAAACTGTTAAATTACCAAAGGTATGCCATCTGCCATGCAGACGATTCGGGGCCATGAGGGGCCCCTGTCCATTCACACAACGCCGGCTCGTCACGAACGGATCACCCGTGGATCACGGCCCCTTCCGAGCCCCTTCCGCGTTACGCGGCCATGGGCCATCCAGGTGGGAGTCGATGACACCCATTTGATCATGGCACATATTAATTTTGGGGGTCCAGGAATTGGGGCTGTTGGGGGTATTAGTTAAACAATTGCTGTGGGTCTATACATCCATATTCCATTTTTTTTATTTTCGGTTGAAGCACGCTATGGCTGGTATAAATGTCCATGGTTTCTGCAAATGGTCCCTGAAATCAAATCAGGATCTATCCAGTGTCAAGGGTGTTTTGTTAGATTTGAAATATGGGTGTCCGGGTGTCTAGTCTCCACATCATGGGATGATTTACCGGTAGGTGAAATTTATGTCTGACTAAAGATGATGGTTATCTTCCAGCTGATTTTCGGCCCAAAATGGGATGACCATGGTGAATTAACTCCCGGTTTTCTTCCAAGAACAAATCCACAAGACAGAGAAAAATTATCCATTAGAAAGGAACATTTCCTTGCCATGCATAGGATGTTTTTCATGCACCGCCTGAGGGAAAGTTCTAGCCGAGATGTTTCAATCAGACTTCTTGGTGCTTGCCCCCCCAAACTTTTTGTCAAATCGGCATTTTGTTTTGGTGGTAGATCATGGTAGATCCACGTTAATCGTTGGTAAATGTAAAAAGTAGTTCGTAAATCCCGCAAACCCCGTAAATCCTTTACTTCCCCGATTTTTGCTCTGTAAAATCCCTTATTTTTGCTGGTAAAACCACCAACTTCTTATGGTTTGTACTGGCAATTCACCCCTTTTGGGTTGGGTGAACCACCCATCATTTCCAGGCGCTCCGTCCGGTGTGGGCGGTGGCAACCCGGGCGACGCCGGGGCGGGTGCCAGCGGTGCCAGCGACCAGCGCGCGGCGCGGGAGCGCTACCGCAATGCGCTCTTTGATCGGGAGGCGGGGGCTTGTGGTATTTCATAGGATTTCATAGGATTTCATAGGATTTCATGGGATTTCATGGGATTTCATGTCATTTAAGCAGCCAAAATGATGGAACATGGATGAACATGGGGGTTTAACATGGTTTAACCATCCAAGATAGGGACTGATAGGGTGGTGAAGCATCAAAAAATGGTGGTTGCACAGTTGCTCCAACCCATTGGCGAATCATGGCCACTTACCATCCTTGTGGGGTGTTGGCAGCAACCTTGACTGGGGATGACTGGGGATCCGAGTGGTGAGGAAAGATGGGTTGAGTGGGAAGCAGAGCATGAAACATATCTGAGTGATGAACTTGTGGTCGTTTCAAAGAGTTTCCATCCCTGCTTGGAAAATATGGTGTCACAATAATTTCTGTAGGTCACCCAACATTTGCTGAACCCTCAGACCCTCAGAGAGCTTAGACCTTGGAGGGACATGGTCTCACCCACGGAGATGTCGCTCAGACTTGGTCGGCCGGGTTTGTCTGAAAATAGGGTGCCCCATGCCATCCATTGGTTAATCATTTTCCCAACTACAATGCCATTCTGGATTCTGGATGTTTTCCACTTTTAGACGCACCCAACTCTCATATCAAGTTGTTTAGTACTATCATATCCCATAAGGTCCCATGAAATATCCCATGAAATCACCACTTGGATGTCATTTAAAACACCACTTGGATCCTCATGACATCTCCCATTCCATCACCAAGTTCTCCCATTCCACCTGGACTTTTTTCAGGCCAAAGCAGCCACCGCTTTGCTTGAGCAGGTGGGTCGTTGGTCGTTTTGTCGATTCCGCTTTGCGTGCTGGAGAGTACTTCATTGAACATCTCCCGAAGAAATATGCCTTCAAGGAAGTTATTAATTCAATTACCATCATTATCCCATCATTTAACCATCATGATCCCATCATTCAAGCATTATTATTCCATTAGTTTGCCATTAATAAACTTATCAACCACTATTAACCATTAATATCCCACATTCATATCCTCAGTAATCCTTATTCCATTCATACATGGCCCTTCCTCGAACGGCACCACAGAAATACCGAGGTGCGGCACTACGTGGGCCGTTCGGGGAAGTGCCACGTGAGCGACTTCGAGGATTTGAAAAAGTCGCCCGGTCGACATGGAGGGTGACACGTAGCTGGGAAATTATGTTGGAACATTTGGAAAAGGATGTGACAATCTATAGAGATTTTATAGATGATTTAGTTATAGAATATGTTATAATTCAGATATAAAGTATAAATGATTTTCCCATCTATAAATATAGGAGACAAACTCGATACATGGAGGTTTATAGCTGGGAGGTGCTGGGAGAATCATTGACAAATTCCAGCCATGGTTGACTACCGGAGGGTAATTACCCCCAAATATCCCCGCAACCTCTTAAGACGGCGGAACTTTTCTTGAACCCTAAACCAAACCTTTAAACACCCCCTTGTTGATGGTGAAATCCCATTTTTTTTGGGTAAAAACACCGTTCTTTGACATTACAGTATATATAAAAGAAACCCAATAAAAACGATATAACCATTTTTGTTGAGATCCACATTTTTGCTGGTTAAACAATGTGGGCGCCAACCCCAACGTTCGCCCACGTTCAAATACTACACCCAGAAAAAAATCATATACTTGTCACCTGAGGATGAACGAAAACACTGGCTATACGCATCGATTTTGACTTGAGGTTTTAGGGTTTATTGTCTCGGAAAATCAAGAGACGCTAGCCCAAGAGACAGGGATTTGGGTGTGTCAATCCACCATGCAGGACCTGTGCACCATCCACCATGCCATCAGCAACCTGTACCAGCGCGTGCGGAGGACAGCGACCGGGGACTGTACGGAGACTGTACTCCTAGTTGTGGAAGTCAAAGCGTTTCAATGAAATGTGCGTCCTAGGTGGGGGAGAAATTTCTGGAAGTCGGTGCGATGTTGCGTCCAGTTGGTGTTTAGCATGTTTGTGTTTTCTCCAATTGATGGTTTATCGTGAGTTTTTCATGGATACCATGCAGATGGTTGTAGCTATTCCCTTGTGTTTTGGGAGTTTTGTACATCACTTGTGGCTCGCTCTGTTGTGCAAGATTCATACAAACACCGACGATTACTGGGTCGATGTTATAACAAGTGCCTATGGGGAAAGGCCCGCATGGGCAGCGCCTATCACTTTAACTTACTGATGTATTTTTTGGCACTTCGCATAGGCACACGACGCTTACCTGTCATATCTTTTTGGGCTTACCCACTGTATACTCCCAAAGATGAAAGTCGTGGCAATTGTATACTTGTTTGAGATTATTGCAGAAACATTCCTTCAGATTATTATTCAGACATATTTGAGATTCATGTGTGGAGACGCGTCCTGATGGGGATTTGGAAAATTTGGTATATATTTTTAAGATTATGGGACATAACTGTGCACACGCGTCCTGATGGGGATTTGGAAAATTTGGCAATAGAAAAGTGCACTGCCAGGGATCTAAAAGTAACACTTCTACATAGTGCGTCCCATGCAGTTTTAGACCTGGTTGCATTGACTTGTTTGACTTCCTGAATGCGCGGCGTCCCATGCAGTTTTTACCTTGGTTCCACATATGCACTGACTTTCACGTCCGGGTGTACTGCACGGTTCAGTTCAGAGACGGGGGTTTGACCGAACAAAAAGTGGGGATTATATATATATATATATGTAATTATGATTAATTATGTGTATGTATGCATACATATATACACAATATCAATAATTGGATTATTGGAATATAATATATATATATATACACACCAATAGATTTGTTTTAACTAGCTGTTTGGATATTTTATCAACATCGCAAACAAACACTCAGTGAATTTTGATGGAGATGGAAATGTTTATCATCCCAACTCCCAGTGACCCAATCCATTCACATACGTTCCCCACAGGCGAATTTTCTGTGTGTCCTATGTTAAACTCTTAGTTTTCAGGGCTTTGTAATTTGCAGGATTGGAAGTGTCCAAACCACCGTCATCAGCAACAAGACTATCAACCAGATGATGAACATGATTATTATTAGTAATTATGCTACAATCAGAATCAGTATGATGTTTTTTTTTTTCCTGATGATGGTTGATGGTTACACTATGATATATTTTGATTATGATTGGGTATGATCATGATGATGATGATGATGATCCCACTGATTTCCCCCAACTTCGCCAACGTTCCCAACGTGAAGCGACCGCCAGATTCTCCAACGTGGAAGCCATGCCGCGGGTCTATCGCAACGCCGTGAAGGCGTGCTGTAGGGCACTGGAACGCAAGGGGTTTATGATCAGTATCACATAGTATCACTACATTCAAAATAGCATCACATGGGGTTACATCATTGGCATTCCCCACTTTCAGAGGAACCCCAAATTGGGCCCCAAATTGGGAGAAACCAATGCTGGGGACCTTGGGTATCCAGGATTTCGCACTGATTTTGGCACATGGCGCAAGCCCATTCGCTAGTGGCTGCGATGATACAACAATCTGCTCTATCCTCATTCTTCTTGGTCGTAGAGCCTGAATTCGTGTTGGGGTCTCCAGAAATGGATGATTTGGGGGTACCCCTATTTCAGGAACCCCCCTTGTTGGTTCGGGCCACCATTGCTTTGGCAATTGAGTTTTTTTTGGTTGCTTCAATTTCCCATTGTTTTCCATGTGCGTTCACCAAATCCCAATTTCGGTTTGTCCCCAGTTTTTTTTCTTCGATCAGATCACATTCAATGCCCATTTTAATGGTTTGGTCAAGTCCTCTATATTGCTTAAATTCCCCTATGTTTGCCATCATTTTATGGTCAAATCGGTCAAATCCTCCAGTTTTTGCTTCAGCCAGATCACCAGTTAACGTTGTTTGCAGGGCCCAGCCGTCGGACCGAACGAAAGGCGGCCGGGAAATGCAGGAAAAAGGGTGGCGGAGAGGTGGGCATACGTGGCTTACCAAGAACCCCATGGAAAATGGTGGTCCTTTTTGGTTTTGAATGGGATTGAACCAGGCAAAATGGTGGAACATGTTGGTTTCACCATGAAACATGGAGGTTTCATATGGTTGAAACAATGGTTCTTGTGTCATTGTCCCACTCTCTTCCATTCTATGGAAGAAAAACACCACCCAAACTAAACAAACTTCCACAAAAACCGAAGTAAATGTTAGAGAAAAAGAAGGAGAGACAGTGGATTGGGGGGATAAACAGCTGATCACCGCCAGCAGATTATCCGCACATCATATGTTCTTGGGCTTGAGGCCTCCCTGAGAAGAAGCGATTTCAATCTGCTGAAGCCTAGGATTTTGCAGCTCAGCGTTTCAAAGAATCTTAGGATTTGTGGTAAGCCCAATGCCATCAAACCTACCATCACTGGGGATGATCTTTACAAACCATCAAAATGCTGATTTTTTGGGATGCTAGCCATTATTCACCAATCATTATGCATTATCCCACCATTTAGCTGCTATTCTCCCATTATTAGCCATAATTGGAACCATGATCGTCCCATGATCGTCCCATTATTTAACAATTATTAATCATTACTAGCCATTATTAATCATTACTCACCATTATTAATTATTATTTCTGATCATTATTAATCATTAGTAACCATTACGAACCACGAATGCCTCACATTCAAATCCTCATTGGTAATCCCCAACGCGCACAACATCGCCAGGCCAACAGCGCCCACTCAGGCGCCCTTCGCACAGCACGGGGCTGGGATATCATGGGACGTAACGGTAACGGGGACATACAATGATATGTGTATATATATATATAAACATATACACACACATACACATACATAATCATTACCACTTAAATGATATGGGTGTGGTACCTGAACATTTTTGGAAAACCCCAGTGACACATGGGGCTGTTTTAAAAAGAGGGATACCCCATTTTTACAGGAACGTGCATGAAACCTGCTTGGTTTCTGACTAGACTTGCAAGCCTTGGTTGTTGGATGAAGGGGAGCCAGGCTGCGATATGGTTTGGGACCTTTTGTAATTTCCTGGTTTGTAAATAGGCAAGCCCAAAATTCGATGGTTACCCTCTGGTAAACTAACATAACTATGGAAAATCACCATTTTTAATGGGAAAATCCACTACAAATGGCCATTTTCAATAGCTACGTTAAATTACCAGAGGGTAAACGCCGTTAAACGCGACAGGCTTTCGCCTGTTTAAAGCAGCCACATATTTTATGGCAGTCTCCTCCATAGCTGCCCAGTGATTTACGGTTTTCAACATGGTGATAGGTAACAAATTACCAGAGGCTATCTATTTGGGAAATACTTGCGGTATTGATGTTTATTGATGTCCACAATGGACATGTCACCACCATTTGGGATTTTTCACAATGTATATGTATGTATGTATATATATAATATTCAGTAACCCTCTATATACATATTTTTATATCATTATATGATATTATATGATATTATATGATATTATATGATATTATATGATATTGGTATCTCATGGTATCTCAACACAATTGGGTCCCCGTTGCAGAACGAAGCCGAGCTGCTGATCCTCAACAGCGACGGCCTGGAGGCGAAGGCCGAGGACGACGGAAGCGCCGCCGTTCTTGGCGCTTCGACGGCGTCTGTGCCGCTGGTGGCCTTGGAAGCGGCTGCGCCGCAGGGAAGCCTGGCACCACTGGGCCAAATAAGATAAAAACCGGTGGTTTTGAGTGGAATTTTAATGGGAGTTTGGTGATTTCATTGGGGTTTAATGATGTTTTGATGGGATTTAATGGAATTTCATGGGATGAACCAATGGAATGATGGGATTCTTATATTCTTTAGCCAGATTTTTGTCCAAAGAACTGGGAAATCAGCTGGTAAACTTGTAGTAGCCATGTTTAGCGATGACAGTAGTTTTTAAATTGCTTGCTAAAAACAAACATATCAATTCTCAACTCAATTCTCAGCGGATTGGTCATTACACTATATACTTGGCTTGTTGCTGTCTACTGGGGAGAAATCTTGGAATGAATCCGCTTTCTTTTTTCCATGTATTTTAGGGACTAGTGCCAGCCGTGATTTGTTTCCTAATCTTTTTCGGACAGATAGATAGAAAATGGCGACTTGAACCCAAAGCCGCATATTTTCAAGGGTCAGCCCCAACTTTTTTTAACAAGATCCTAACAGCACATTTTTGTTCAGGTCAAGACCAACCCGCACCTAGGTCCTCCCCGCCGCCATTGTTCGATCTGGTGCGCAAGGTGCCAGAAATCACGGTGCAGGACCGACTTTGTTGGCACGATTTTGAAACATATTCTATGGGAGGACGTATTATTGTGAAACCATGAAAGATTTGGAATTTGAAACACCTCAAACTTTCGGATGCTATCATCGAAAAATGGAGATTTGATATATCACATATGTGTTCACATATCAAAGAATTGGGATTTAAGCACCAAACAGTAGTGGTTCGACCATGTGTTTTGAACCAACGGAAATTGGGGGAAAAACGCGGCAAAACAAGAGGAACCAGAAAAACAATTGGAGTCAACAAGAAAGTTGGGAGAAGGTAACCACGAAAATTAGAGGAGTTAGTATAGTAAGCATAAACTCTGAGTAAAGCTTAGTTTTTTTGGTAAGTGGTAGGTCCCTTGATTTCCATAGAAAACACTGCAGGGTGAGTTTGGATCGCCATGTCCCAGCTGGGGATCCAATGGGGATGGAAAGTATGGGATTCGGTTTCTTGGGTTTGAAGGGCCTCTGTTGGTCCCAAAGTGGCCTTTGGGTGGCGGATGTTCCGTAGCTCATGCCCCCATCACTATGGTTAACATTGGGACTGATGGCCCAACGAACCCGCTGTGGGATTGACTCTATATACACATGTAGATATATATATAATATGATATATAATATGATATATAATATGATATATAATATGATATATAATATGATATAATATGATATATAATATGATATAATATGATATAATATGATATATAATATGATATATAATATGATATATAATATGACATATAGTATAGTTATATATACACATAATCCCTGCCCCATAATGACACCCTGCCAGAAACTCCATTGAAGTGTACTGCTCAGTTACTGTGACTTTGTCCCCAGAGGGATGCCCCGCAGTGGCAGGAGCTCTGCAGAGGTTTTTGGGGGGTCCGGTGGGGGATTGAGGAGGTTAGACTGGGCTCAATGGGGATTACCCTCTGGTTATGCCAAAATAGCTATTGAAAATGGCCATTTATAGTGGATTCATCCATTAACAATGGTGATTTTCAATAGTTATGTTTGTTTACCAGAGTGTATTGCAACTCACTTACCTGACTGGAAAACCTCCATGGGTCAACCTGGATGACCCAAGCATTTCGGAGTTGGACCGATTGAGCCGCAGCCAACGGTCTCCAGGGGCCATTGCCAACTTGAAGGACAGTTGAAGTAGGATGTCAAAGGACGCACTGCAAGGGGGCATTCTGACAAGTTGCACAAGTACATTCTTCCTGATTCTACCATGCCATCCAGCCATGACGCTGTTGCAGCGCACAGTCCTCGTGGTGTTGGGACTGCTGCTAGCTCTGGCTCTGGGCCAGCCACCGTCGCCGGGGCCATCGCCTGGACCGAGTCCGGGACCGTCCCCCCCCGGACCGGGTTCGACAACAGCACCATCGCCTACAACAACGGCACCACCAACAACAGCCGCAACAACAGCCGCAACAACAACGGCCCCATCGCCAACAACAACAACCGCACCATCGCCAACAACAACCGCATCATCACCAACAACAACCGCACCACCAACAACAGCCGCAACAACAGCCACAACATCAACAACGGGCGCACCGTCGCCTGGGCCCACAACGACAACCGCACCGTCGCCATCGCCTGGGCCCCCACCAACGACAACCGCACCGTCGCCTGGGCCCCCTCCAACCACAGCCGCACCATCACCTCCTCCCCCGCCAACGAGCACCGCACCGTCACCAGCACCATCCCCCGGCCCAGCAGCATCAACTCCAACGACCGCCGCCGCATCCACTTCAAGGTCCCCAACAACCACGGCTACACCAGCACCGGGTCCATCAACAACCGCAACATCATTACCCGCAACGACAGTCCCACCATCGCCTGGGGCGCCCCCGACAACGCCTGGAGCTCCCGGGCCATCGTCGCCTGATCCAGCCGGGACCACTGCGCTGGCTGGTGCAGCAACAACCACCAGTCCAGCGCCACAAACATCGCAGCAGGCCGGTGCTGCAGGATCTTCCGCAAACGCAAAACTTCCGTGGGAAGTCTCTTGGCCGCCATGACCTTGGGAAGGGTAACATGATCCCAATTCACCCCATTGTTGATTGATTGCCGTCATCCTATAGTTAGTCCTTATTTTATCAGCGGTTTGATCTCGTTGAAAAAGTGTCCTTAGTGGTTGCCGGCTATGGGATGGCTCTCCATGCCTGGCAAATCGCCCTTTCTATAAATCGGGCCGAATGCCAATACCCCTATAGAATCAACGTGAGATTATTTACCCCTGCTGGAGTCATTCGTGTGGTACTGAATTTCACCAATATATATATATATATAATATAATATAATATAATATAATATATAATATAATATAATATAATATAATTCAATATCATACAATATCATTCAATACAACTTAATTCCACAATGAATTCTTCATTTTAGACATATTTGTTGCTTCACCAGCACTTTTTCCCACCGAAAATCCCCACCGCCGTGCCCAGTCGGCTACCACCAGCCCCACGGAGATGCGTTGGCCGCCCAGCCAGGAGGCTGGTGGCAATCCGGTGCCATGGCTACGGTTGGAGTTTCGGGCTGGGAGGGAACTGGGAGATCCCCATTTTTATTGGGTTAAACCATGTTAAACCATGTTAAACCCTATGGGTCAAACATAACAAATGAGATAAAATGGGGATATCCTCTAGTAACAGAACTGACATCGCTGACATAGCGAACTGGAGATTTTCCCCATTTTTATTGGGTTAAATCGACTATTTCTATGGCAATTGTCAATAGCTATGTGAAATGGCCAGAGGGTAACATGCTCTTTGAAATTAAGATGCTGGTTGAAGATGAGGGAGGGAATTTCTGATTGACTTAAACAGACAATCATGGTCTTTTTTGTTTCTCTTGGAATTGTCGCAAGCTGGTCTTTTTATTGTTACAAGTATTAGTATTACTATTATATATATATATAGATAGTATTGATGTGTATTGATATTGTTGGGTATACCACAGAAAGTAAACATCATGGGGCAAAGGAGATGAGAGATAAAGTTGTGATTTAAGCAAGAGACAATGATCTAAGATGATTTAAGCAAGCGAAATGCGCGTGTAATCAAACATTCTGATCCAGGACTGCTAATATTTTGAATTGTGATGTACCAGCAGTCATAAAACACAGCATGAAGTTGATGATGTTCACCTTCTTGCTGCTGCTGCTGCTGATGATGATGATGATGATGATTGGATCCTGGGCGGATTCTGGCTCAACCTATGGATTGAAACCCATAGCTGCTTCGAGGATTTTTAGCAAGTACAATGCTGCACTTCCATGGCAGTTTCCAAGACAAACCATGGACTCATCGTAGTGGCTCTGCGCTACCGAACCCAAAAATGCCACCTACATCGAAGGAAACCTCAACAAAACCGGGGCATGGGATGGACCTATGGGATCCTATGGGCCCCAAAGGGGTGCTTTCACCAAGCAAAAATTCAGGTGGCTTGAAGCAGTTGTCATCAAGCCCCTTGGTTCCAGCCTTGTGCCATGCGTTTGCGATGGTCAGCTTGTGCCCTGCTGTGCGCCCTTGCGGAGGAGTTTCGTGAGGCGGTGGAAGAGGTGGGGCCCCGGGAAACAAGCTGGCAGGCATCATTTTTCTGCAGAAACCCTATGACAAACCTTGGTTGGGTCATTTTTTTTGTGCCACGAATAGTCTAGGGAAAAATTGCCATGCCTTTCCCTGCCAATTGCATGCTTGAGGTTGTTGTTGTGGATCGTAACTATATCCTAGCTGGAAGTTTCTTTTTAAGTCAATCAACTGATCATTATGTTTTTCTCCTCTTTGACTCCAACGCGAGTGTTTCTTCGATGCCCGTAGTCTGCATGACTGCGTGCTGCGAGTGAGAGTGCCTCCCGCCTTGTGTGAAGAACTAGCTTGTTTTTGTTCAGGAGATCTGAGACTAGCCCCGTTCTTTTTTCCGATAAGAGATGTTTCTGACATCTCTGGACCCGCAGATTTTCTAATTCAATGGCGAAAACATGCGAAAACTGCCCAGGACGCCCTGTCCGTCTCGCGCCTGGCGTCCCTCTTTGGGCAGCTGGACGGCGACGGCGACGGCCAGGCGTCGCCACTGGAGCTGCTGAGGGCCGCGGAGGCAGTGCGCCTGGGCCTGGCGACGAAGGATGTGGAGGTGGCGCTGGAGGCGCGGCCGATGTCTGCCATGGCTGCCAGGTGAAAATCCTGAGATTTGGATCGGAAAATAATGGAAAATAATGGAAAATATATGAGTTACCCTCTGGTTATTTAACATAGCCATGATAATTATAGAGTATAGATGGCCCATAGAAATAGATGGTTTACCGAACTTAAAAATGGGTGGATTTTCCATGGCTATGTTAAAATAACCAGATGGTACTAAGATTACTAAGAAACTTGAAGAAACTAACCGGTTAAGAACATCTAAGAATCCAATATGTTTTGAAGGGTATCTCAGATTTTCCCATGTTTTTGGTTTGGATCTTTTGCCATGGGGGAGAATTCCGGAAAGTAAAGCCCATGACTATTTTTGAGACTGCGTACTATACCGTTTCCGGTTGAAACCAGATGAGATTGTTGACCAGCAAGATTATTCAATAGGGTGAAAGTGATATCCTCATTGTAGTAGCAATCGTGCCCCCTTGTTCGTTGATATAAACACCCATTATGGGACAGAGAACCAAGATGAACCAAGAATGTTGTTTATACTCAAAAACAAAACTTGGTGTTTGCACATCCCCCAAAACTTTGTAGATCTATGTAGATCTTGGTTGAACAGCTCCCTTCCGTAATTCTTGTCCTAAGATTCGAAACCAACCAACATGTCCACGCAAAACGTTGAGTTTTCCCGTGGTTTCACAGATTTTGGGCCATGATGGGTTTGTCAATAGGGTCACAATAGATCTGGTGAATTACCTATATATTTGCCCCACCTTTTCCCCATCAAATGAGCCATCTCTGAGGGGTTACGTCGCAGGAGATGGACCGCAACCGCGATGGCTGGGTGACCTTTGAGGAACTCCACGAGGGCGAGGTGGAACCCATCGATGACGACGATCGGAGAGACATGGAGCCGCCTGGCGCAAGGCATGGTTTGTCGTCAATGTCGAAGTGGATATTGTGGATATTGTGGATATTGTGTGTGTATATATTTACTGTGTATATATATATTGCTACTGTATGTACAAGTACAAGAACATGCTGGTATGGTTAGTATGGTTACTTGTTCCATTGGCAGGCGTTTTTTGTTTATGTAAAGCCCCATCCAAAAAAACAGCGCGTTGTTTTGGCATCTCCATTGCAGCGCTTCAGCCAAGTTGGGCAAACCACGGGGCCACGCGGTCTGCGATTCTAATAATGGTTGATAAGGGTTACCCTCTGGTAAAGTAACTAACATAGCTATTGAAAATGGCCATTTATAGTGATTTTTCCCATGAAAAATGGTGATTTTCCATAGTTATGTTAGTTTACCAAAGGGTAACAGATTCAATAACAACATTATTGCTATCATGATAAAAATGATGATTTTGTTATATTTTTTGCTCATGGACAATCCTCTTTCTGGATGTTTCTGGGACATTGGAAATTTTTTTCCCAGACATGGCCATGGCTGCCATGATCCCATAATTCCTTGGTGATTTTAAGTGCTTTTCAAAACATGCTGTCCCGTGAGGCAAAACAAAAAAGTGACTCACGGGACAGTCGTGCTGATTTTGATGTTTCAGTTGAATGGTAAATGATCACGATTTCACATTTGGCTTTCAGTCTTGGGTTTGTTGGCTCTTATTTTTCGATAGTGCATTAAGCAATGACAAAAAGAATATATAGTGAGAAATAATATTGTGCAATGAGAAAAATCGTGCTGATTGTGATGAGAATGATAGTGATGCTGTAATGCTGTAGCTTTGATAATTAGTGATGATAATCAATCATCCAGCAATTGTATATTTCTTTTGCTGTTGGGTGGAGGTTGTTTTGTACATCTTTCAGGAGTCAACTTCAAGCTGTCCTCTTTCATAAGCATCAATCAAGAGTGGTAATTTAGGCCATGGTTTTGTTATCGCTATCCCAATATTTTTCCGTCGAGAACAGGTTGACCTCTTTATTTCCTAACATATAATAGTATAATGTATGTATATATATATATATAGTCGTTGAGCTGTCTCTGGTGGCTGACGTGCTAGATCTGGTAGATGATAGGGGGCCCTTCTGGTTGAGGTGGTGAAGCTCTGTTTTTGTTTTGTGAGGTTGAAATGTGGAATTGGTTATCTGTCCATGATATTCTCTAAAAAAGGAAGGAACAAATCCAAGGGTGCTTTTTTTTTTTCCGTTGTTTGTCGCCCATTGCTTGTCAGCCAAGAAGAAGCTGAAGAAAATACCATAGATGGTGGACATACCAAACTACGACTTATTAAGAACACCAGCTCCTATCACAAAATGGCAGCTTTAGTTTTTGAAATCTACCGGAATTCGAGCTTATAATTCAAATGGTGTATGGATGCCTTCCTATCAAAACTGTATATCATAGCTTGCCGATTATATACCATCCTTGCGGCATTGAGGAGAAAAAGAATGCACAAACAATTTGTAATTGTACAATGCTGATTATACAGTTGTCAGCTCCTATTCCATGATACGCATGATAAAAATGGTAATTGTTGATCGCTATGCAAAATCTTACTGGTGCTTAGTAGGGAATGGATGGGAATGGGGGAATGGGATTATTATTACTAGTGATTATGGATCATTCCCTCATTCCCTGCTAAGCACCAGTAAGAAATCGTTGTTCCGATAACGATATGTTGCTGCCTATGTCCCCGTGATATGCATCCAAACTGCTCAGCTGACCCAACCGTAGCCATCATCAACCACCATTTATCAATGATGTCCTCATGTGTTCGATGCCCAACCATATCAGGTATATCCCTTGTTTGATAGTTATACCTCGTTAAGCCCATAAAAAAAGGTTGCTTACTTATCACTGCTTACTTACCATAAACACTAGTGAAATACTGGTTATATTCAACCCCATTATACACATATATATATATAATATATATATATATATATATTATGGACACGATTCTTGATGTTATTTCCCAATTTTTGTTGCCAACACTTCGATCAAACCTGGTGTTGTTGTTAAGCCTCGAAGCCTAGTTAGTTTAGTGGAGGTCAACCCTGAAAAAAAAAACAGTAATTGAGTTTGAACCTAGCTCAATTACCTCTGGATTTTTCATCAGTATGAATTTTCTAGCTTAATTTTGGTGAGTTTTCCTGTTGGCATAAGTCATTAAATTCCATTCAATATCACCGTGACTCCCAGGAAGCGCCGCACGGAAGATCTGCAGCTCTTCAAGGCCGCGGACGTGGATGCAGACGGGCGCCTGACGCCTGCGGAGTTACGCGCGGTGCTGTACCCGGAGACGCAGCAGGCGCTGTGGAAGGTCTGAGGACTAGACTAGTGTAGCTGTCTAGTAGTTGTTTCTACCATCAGCACCAATGGGAATACGTGTGTGTGAAGACAATGGGAATACGTATGTGTGTGTATGTGTGTAAATATATATATATATATGCATGTAGATATAATTAAAAAGCGGGGAGGGGGAGTTTGAAACTTGAGAAATACTTGTATACGAGCCCTCAGTTAGTCACTCTGTATAGCCGTTTGCCAGAACAACGTTTGGGATGCGGTCCCATCCATAGCTCGGAACCATGCTTCCTTTGTTATAGGATCCATATTTCAATGGATTGGTTTAAGGGAAAATTTACAGGAAAGCCCCATATTTAATGGGAAAATCTATGGTTTCCTGTAAAATTTCCCTTAAACCAATCCAATCCATATTTTACTCAATGCAAATCCCCACTTTTGCTGGATTTCTCTCGGTCCATCCTTGACTTTCTGTGGGTAAAATCGACATTTTGTTTGTCTGTTTTGGGTTTTGGCATCCGGGGCCCTTCTTGGATTTTCTGCCCGTTGTATGGGTGTGTGCCAGCCTTGTCTCAGGAGTTGTTGCGACTGGTGGCGGAACATGCGTTGAAGAGAAAGGCGGGCTGACGGGCAAATCCTTTCGGCTGGTTGTTGGCTGCCCAGGCCGAACACCTTGTGGGAACAGTGACCATGTGGTAGCATCAACAGCACTGTCACCAGCAAAAAGAAGAAGAAGAAGAAGGAGGAGAAGAAGGATGAGGAGGAGAAGGAGGAGAAGGACGAGGAGGAGAAGCAGGAGCACGAGAAACAGGAGGAGAAGGAGAAGGAAACGGAGATGGAGGAGGAAGAAGAGAAGAAAAAACCATGCAGAAGAGTAAGACGAGCAAGACGAGTAAGACGAGTAAGAAGGGGAGGAAGGAGAGGAAGAAGAGGAAGAAGAGGAAGGAGAAGGAGACGGAGACGGAGAAGGAGAAGGAGAAAAAAAAACATGAGAACCACACGGGAAAAACTTGAAACAAATCACAGGAAAAACGGAAGTAAAGGAGAAACCATGGATCAAAGCTAGGGGAAGAAGGATGCGAAAACAGATTGTACCATCCAGACACACAAAACGTGAGGTTCAAAATTGGTGTGAATTGTTGACAGCAAAACCCATCCACAATCTGCTTCCTGGTTTTAAATGATCGGACAGTTATCTCTCCATTTAACATGTTCAAAACATATCCAGACAAATCCCCAAATCATCAGAAACATCCATACAATCCCCAATCATCAAAGACATGAAAATACATCCCCAAAGCATCAACAAGCATCCTCGTTCACAATGTAAGATCATCAAAACCATGCGAAAAACCATGAAAAACCCATCCCTCCCAACTCCACAACACGTTTTCCAAGGCCAAAAAGACAAGTTTCCCTCAGCCGCCCCAACCCTAGGACCTGGATGGGGACGGTCAACTCACGTTGTCCGAGTTCTGGGAGGGCGACGTAGCGCCCAACGAGGAACCACAGGAGGAGGGCGCCACCTTCCGGCGTTTGGACCGCGACCAGAACGGCCCCCTGGATGGTGAAGGGATGATTTTGGCGAGTTTTTGGGGACATTTATTCCATGCCGGTCCATGCCATCGTCTTTATGGTTGATGTCAAAAGGTAGTAGAAAAATCTCGGCTTAGGCATAAGTTCGAGGGTGAAGGCAAGGAAAATTCTTGGGTATCCATCGGCTTGGTCCATTTTTGACCGGCATATATGAGTTTGTATGAAAATAGGGTATCCCAAGATCCATCTAATGAAACGCACCATTTTAGATTGCCATATATTCGGAGTAGACCGAATTTCTGACACATCCATCCATCATATCAAGTTGGGTAGTGATACTTATCGGATGACATCACTATCCTCATAATAACCCATACTAGTCTGGTTGGTGGTTTAGAACATGAATTTTATGTTTCCATATATTGGGAATTTAATCATCCCAACTGACGAACTCATATTTTTCAGAGGGGTAGGTATACCACCAACCAGTAGTGGATATATAAGCATAGCAGCATAGCAGCATAGCGGCCCCACCCAACTTACGGAGCTAAAGCCTCACCAGGTTTTTTTCGCCATTTGTGACCGAAACACAGCAGCCCCCATGGAATCTTAAATGGCCCATGAATCCTATGGTTAGTTATATCCCATCATATCCCAATAATTTCCCCTATTAAATTTGCATTGGAATCTAATATTAGATCACCATATGGAGGTTTCCTAAGTCAATGGGGGAAATCCCCATTCATCATCCATTTCCAATCATTTATTATGACCTGGTTTTTCCATCATTTTTTTCCAACATCAATGGGCGCCATGGAAACATCTGGCCGAACTGAGGTCATTTGAATGTGGAGGAACTGATGGACTGGGAATCTGGCGCCCATCACACGCAGGTGGCCTTCGAGGAGGGTTTTTTCGGCCATGGGACCTATGGGATCATTGAATCAATGGGGCCGGGAAGGGCCGGGCAGGGGATATACCCCCAAGTTATATCATCTTATATCATCTTATATCATATTTTAGACCTCTAGTTTCAGTACTTGAAATGGCCATTCACTGAATGATGACTAGTATCAGAAGGGTTCAAGCTTGCTCCGAGATGCATGTCGCTGCTGAAAGGCACAAATTTCATCCAATTCTTCATCCAATTCTCGCTCTGGCTGGTGAAAAAACACAATTTTTCAGCCTTTTGTTCTCAAATTTAAACTTTGCAGGTAAGAATCGCAAAGCCATTCAATTGTTTCCCACGCAAAATCCACAAAAGCATCCTTAGACTCCAAAATGTCTCGTCAGAAAACACGTCAAACCACAACATCTTTTTTTCAATGTTGAGTATGGTTATATATGGTTATATACTGTTATACCCCCATCAATCACATCACCATAAACAATCATCACAAAATCAGCATTTCTATAGGAGCTGCTGCGCATGTGCGACGACAACGGAGATGGGCAGTTGAGCCTGGAAGAGCTGACAGGACATCATCAGCACCTGGGCTAAGGAGATGATCTGCGGTGTTGCGGTGTTGTTGGGATTTTCTTGGGATTTATGGTGATTTTCTTGGGATGGTATCAACAATAATCAACGATTTAATTTAGATGTAACCAACAAACCCAAGACTGCAAGAAAGTTTGGGAACAGGATAATTTGTGAGGATTTGTGTAAGCAACCATTTTATGGTGACATTCTGTGAAAATCTAGCCAGTAATGACGGTATAACAATGGCGGTATATTAAAAAATAAGCTTCGGTGGTATCCCAAACAGCCGCAACGTTTTATTTACTGTACATATCTTTCCAAAACACAACATTGAGGCAAAACTGCAAGTTAAATCGGCATGATCAAAACAAATCTTAAGAAAGACTCAGAAAAGCACAATTGCTCCAATGACATCCATGTATGCCGTGCACATGCATGAAAACAAAAAGAAGGAAAACAAACTTCTCCGGAACCTTCTCTGCAACCTTCTCCGGAACCTTCTCCGGAACCCGTTGAACCTGACCTGCACCAAAGATTCCCAGAACCTTCTCCGGGACCTTCTCTGCAACCTTCTCCAGAACCCGTTGAAGCTGACTTGGCTTTGCACCATAGCTTCCTCCAACCTTCTCCGGAACCTTCTCCGGAACCCTCTGTTGAACCTGACTAGCTCGGCACCAAAGCCTCCCAGACCTTCTCCGGAACCCTTGAGCCTACCCTGGCTCTGCACCAAAGCCTCCCCGACCTTCTCCGGAACCGTCTTGGCTTTGCACCAAGGCTTCCTGGAACCTTCTCCGGAATCGCTCCGGAATCGCGTTGGACCTGACCTGGCGCTGCACCAAAGCCTCCCCGACCTTCTCCGGAACCGTCTTGGCTTTGCACCAAGGCTTCCTGGAACCTTCTCCGGAATCGCTCCGGAATCGCGTTGGACCTGACCTGGCTCTGCACCAAAGCCTCCCAGACCTTCTCCGTAAACCTCGTTGAACTTGACCCGGCGCCTGCACCAGTGCACACCCGAGCTATTCTGGGCTGAAGACCCCATGAGCTTAAGCTGTTGGGGAATAAGTATCTAACCGACCAACTTGATACGACACTTGGGTTTGTCTGAACATGTTTTTTGGGTAGAACCTGGCCAGGAGTATAACCGATAATCAACAATTTTATATTGTATACGGTATACAATTGGATTTGGTGGTTGTTAACCATATGGACACGGGGATTTACGTAACAAGTAAATATGGGGATAGACTGCGGATAGAATGGGGATGGAATGGGGGTTAAAGAACTATGATACGACAAATTTTCTCTCACCAACTTTAAAATATCTTAAACATAGTGGATTTAAGCATCCGTTTGTGGCCATTTTAATTGGTAAAACGCTATTTTAAACCACCAAAAAAATTGGGCTCCCTATTTTTGAGACAAACGCTGGTTGGACAATATTTTTGTTTGGTTGGATGATTTTTCCATTGGGGTTTCAGTTTTTAAAACCAATAGGTACATGATAAGGATTGGTATACCATATACCAAACCGGCCCCTGTATTTTTCCCAAAAGGACAGTATTGGGATGAAACCAACAATCGGGACGAAGTGGGGATTGTACCTGGCAACATTGGGGCTTTGCTGCCCAAAATTCTGGGAATTCGCCAACGAACTGAGGCAGTTGTCCAATACCGACGCTGCTTATCACTTCTTGGAATGGGCCGAGCATTACGAGCTCTAAAGCATCCACTGAGAGTTCACTGCTGAACCAGTCCAGGGGTGCCAGAAAATCTACCCCATTATATAGTTGGGATTAGTTGGGCAAGATTCATAGTTGTTGTTGCAGGCAAAAACTCAAAGCTTCACGGCTGAAGAAAAATTGCGGCAGAAATAGCTGATGGCTTGCCATGACAGAGCCAAGACATGCGGCGTTGTGCCAATGCTGCGGTCAGAGCAACCTGGACCCTTAGTCCGAATCCAAAAAAGGGACTAAAGGTACCACATGGTACTACCACCAATTTGGGTAGTCAACATGCTTCTGATACGTAAGGGTCTAGGTAGCACATGGTAGCACTACAACCTGCTCCATTTTGGCGACGTCGACGTAGCAGGGTGGCACGGGTTTCCAAAGTGAAGCCGACGGGCCGTCGGTCGTTTAGGTCCGCAAGGAGCGCCGCAAGGAGCGCAAAAGCTATTGCTAATCCTTTTACGAATTCGACAGGTTCTATAGATTGTAGAGGGATTTCATATATAATCTTATAATCATATATATATATAATATTACATATATGAATTTCCAGTTGAAGTCGCTCTGATTGGTTGCAAACATGTTTTATGTTGAATTCTGATCCCAGCTGGCTCATCTTCAGACACTTAAGTCACTCCAAATCAGATTGCAACTGGTGGAAATTCACATCCCCTTTTTCATCAGAGTTGAAAAGGCTCAACATCTGAAAGTCCGGTAGTACCCCCAATTCCTTGTTGGATTGTCACTTTCCAACACTTTCCAACTGCTCTGGTGGCCATTTCGTGATCTTTATCCGGTGGCCGACATCATCTGAGGTGAATGTAACTATGTATCTGACCGATCCTTGGGGCAATGGGAATTGGCCATGGGGAAAAAAAGGCAGCTGGTGAAACGAAGATCTTCATGGAAACTCCCCGGAAAACAATGTTGCCTGGGCGGCCTGGAACTGGGCATTTCTGGGTGAAACCATTGGAGGGCGCAAATTTGAGTCGCGACTCAACGGGTCCTCAATTTGATGATCATTTGATCAGAAAATATCTGACTTTCCTCTTTCCAACTCATCAAACTGCCATAAATTATGGGTATCACTGGTATCACCCGGTTTTTTGAGAAACCCCATTTGGACAACATCAATCCGAAATGTCCAAGTATCCCACTGAACTTGCGATTATAGCCCACTGACAGATCAGATCCGGAGCATATCTTCCCAAAAAATATTGATTGATCCAGATATCCTGATTTTTTTTTATTCCAATCAAATATATAATCATATCCTCATATATCCTCATTATTTGTATCATATATCAGCTATATCATAACCCCAATCATATATATACACATATATATATTATTATTATATATATATATACATTATATAATATATATATTATATATTATATATATATATTATATGATATATATAGGATATCTCAGCCATGTCATATCCCCATTGGTGAATCGCTGGCGACTCATCCGAGGATCTGAAAAACTTCGATGAGTCGCACGAGACCATCGCGGTCTATGCCTTGATTAACATCGAGTGGCAGCTCGGTTGCGCCGTGGACAACGTCGCGATTTTTGCGACGGAAAACATGGAGAAACCATATGAAACACTGGAAAAAATGGAGACTTCAGGAAAACTGACGATTTTTTTACAGGGATTTCATCCATTTCATCCACAGAATTGGGGATTTAGCCAAGAACAAATGCCTAGAAATGCTGATTTCTGCATGAACAATTGGGATTTCACCACGAACCACGAAAGCTTGGTGGGGGGTAAAACTCATCATTTCCCAGAGGGGGTTTGAAGCGTCAAAAATCGGGGTATATGATGTAACTATATATATATAATAATCATTGACAAATAATGGTTATATAGTTGGGTATGAAATAGTGGGGTATGCCACCTGATTCAATAGGGATTGTCATTGACCTGCTGGCATGGCCAAGGTCCAGATCATTCTAATATACGCCTTTGTTCTTTGTATATTTTGTATGCCATTGACACAGGAAGGTTGAGGGCAAAGGCAGAGAACGATCCTGCTGGGGATAGGTTTGTTGTTTTAAAATAGGGGTTCCCCCGCACGACTGGCCTACTGGCCACTTAAAGGGGACAATGGGGTGATGATCCATTCGAATTGAGGGTGTCCAATTTTCAGACAAACCCGTATATACACACACATATACCAACCTACCAACCTACCAACCTACCAAACTACCAACCTACCAACCTACCTACCTACCTATATATACCTACCTACCTACCTACCTACAGACAGACAGACAGAGAGAGAGAGAGAGAGAGACAGACAGAGACACAGACAGACAGAGACACAGACAGACAGGACAGACAGGACAGACAGGACAGACAGACAGCCAGACAGACAGCCAGCCACCCAGGCAGGCAGACAGAGAGACATACATATTTATGTATAGAAATACACATCCAAATAGACAGAACAGATGAGCAGTATATAATTTTCCAAGATACTCCAGATGATATTTGCCAGGCTCTTAAGCTTTCTAGCTATTTGTTGCCGTTGGAGTGACCAAAATTTGGGGAGTTCAAGTGACAAATCGTGGGAATTCCATCTGTGGATGTGAAGTAAGAAACAGCGGGCAAGCAGCACTTCTGGATTTCGAATGACAACACTTCGGCACTTTAATGACCAAAGTTTAAGGATTTGAAATGACGATATATGTGGATTTCAAAGAACAAAGTGAAGCAACTACTTGGGGATTTGAAGTAACAAACATGGTTTCTCAATGGTTTTTGAAGTGCTTATTGAAAAGGCAACGCTCGTGGATTTGAAGTAATGAACATTTGGTATGATGTCCAGGTATATATATATATACGTATATATATATATAGAGCTTTTGCGCTGCACTGTCCAGTCATGGTTGGTTAATGGGATGATTTATAACAAACATCTGGGATAGCAACTTCCAGGCCTTCCTGGTAAGGTGAGGGGCCCATGGGCCCATCCCATGGTATCCCCCAACTTTTCTCGTTTTGGGGGCTCTAAAATATCATGTTAGATCCCATCACCCACAAGACACCTACTACAACCTAGTACAACCTGATATAACATGGTATCACCTAGTCTTTTTTTCCAATTTTTGAAAATCAATGTATCAGTAGTTTCCCCCTTTTCGCATGGCAATCACATGACCAGGGAAGACCTGCGCTGGTGGGATGCGAGCTATCAGAGGGTGCGGTGGGTCACGGTGTTTCTGAAAGCGAAGCGGTGGAACCGAACGGGATGTCACGGTAACAGATGGACAAAAAATGGGGAATGAATGATTGTAACATATGGATATATATATATATATATGTACATGAATGTACATGAATGTACATGATTGATACACACACATATATATATAGGTATATATACATCAGATGTGGTAATATACAAAACTATGATCATATGTGGTATGATGGTAATTAATAATTTGGAATGGTAATAAATAGTTTGGAATCATTCCCAACTCCAGTACCAAAAATTGTTTCGATAATTGGGAATGATTGTGACATTTGGCCGAGCGGTTGATAGGAATTTCCATAATAATGAGTTTTGGCGTCATTTGGAAGCCATGGATAAAAGGATGCCCAACTTATATACCCTCTGGTAAACTAACAGTTTGCTATTGAAAATGACCATTGAAATAGTGGATTTACCCATTAAAAATGGGTGGATTTTCCATAGCTTTTGATGGTTGGAGACTGTCGACTGACACATGCACCGTGTTGAAACCCCTTGTTGGTTGACGATTGGTTGGCGGGTTTATACCCTCCAAAAAAGTGTTGATCATCACCATCCATGGGAAATCCTGTTCTTAACCAAGCAGTATTTCATTCAGAAGGCGTTTCACATCTATCGGGGGAGCCTCCATCCAGGTGGAGAAAGCTTGCAAGAATCGAACGGGCGGTTGTTCTGAGTATGACTATGAGAAGGGCGAAGAATGGGCAGCTGCTCGGTGATTAAGGAAAAAATGCCGCTGAAATCCATGGTGAAAAATGGTGAACATGGGCAAACAAGGGGTATCCCAAAATGATCATCTTAAGAGGTGTTGAAAAATGGGTGGTCTTTTCTGTGGTCCAAGGAGTAGCCCAAATGAAGAGTGGACACTGGCCATTTTTCCCATTGGCCCAGACCCATGAAATGCCGTCAAAGGGTGTTGCTGAACCAATGGTCAAAAGGGATTCTTTGATGTCAACATGAATGGTTGAGCAGGCATAGATAGATCAATTCATAAATCACTAGATGACTAGAGGACTAGATGGATTGATGTGTGATTGACATGTGGATGGAGAGACAGATGGACAGACAGATGGACGGATGGATTAGCTGGATGGATTGATCATAGATACCTCCAGCCTCCATCGATCATCAAATCATCCACCTACTCATCTCACAGATCATCCACTAATTATCCACTAATCATCCACTTCTCATCCAGATGGCTGGAGATCTCTTTTTTTCTTCCCTCCATCGCCATGGCCGGTCTTGGCCCAGGCAGAGGCGGTCCTCTCCGCGGTTTTCGGGCAGACGGCCGCCTCCTTCTTTGAGCCTTTTGGGCAGAAACCAGGGCCCTGGGGATGACTGGGACCATAGAATGAGGCTGTTGAATGTTAGGGGGATGGGATTAGCCAGGACTTGTAGGACACCTAAGTATTACTTTAGTATACCACCATGGAAAAGTCGCCCTAAAATGAAAATGGGGGGGGCAGATGAATCTTCATGGTTCTTCATCCCTCCCTTTTTATCTACGCTAAACATTGATCAACGGTCAACATGGTCAATTCACCATCGCCATTCCGAAATCACCCGCGGTCTTCCTTGAGGTCCACAAATGGCTTCGGCAGCAGCTTGAGCTTCGTCATGGCCGGCAATGCGGGGATGCCAAGGGCCCAGGGCTGCCCAGACCTGCGCCAAGGGGCCAATCCAGTGGCAAATCCTGATTTGAAAACTATGCAAAATGGAGGCTATACCACGAATTTACCAAGAATGTTGGTCACTCAAAATTTGAGACTTGGAATGGTCACTTAATCCAAAATATTGAGAACATATTGAGATTATACTCAAAATTCATGGTCTATGTTTTACTGCCAAACTGCAGAACCATCCTATCGGACCTATCGTGAGATCATGACTCAGGATGAAGCGAGGAACCAAGCGATGTCTGGCTAAGTGCTTGCCATGGTCATGTTAGTTGGAGAAAAATCCATTAAACATGGGTATGCAATGGGATATTAATGGGAATATTTTGGGATGTACATATATATATATATATATGTATATGTATATGTATATGCATATGCATATTCATATGCATATGCATATAATATAATACAATACAATATAACATAATATAGTATAATATAATATGACATGACATGACATGACATGATATGACATGATAAGACATGGCATGATATGACATGACATGATATGATATGACATGACATGATATGTGATATATGATATGATATGATATGAATTGATATGATTCAATATAGTAATAATTAAACAAACAAACAAACAAACAAATAAATAAATAAGACAATAACTAAATATAATATACATATATAATTGTATACATACATAATTATATATCATAACCAACTATAATTCAAAGTGGGATTGCATACCCATATTGAGGGATAGTCATCAGTCCGTTAGTACGGACTTATATGCCCAGTGCAAGGATTCCTACTATGGGATGGATGACCATAAACCATATACAATCTTTTGGCCAGGCACATATGTTGATGGGTTACAATATCCAGTCAGCCCGCGATTGGGATTACAACCCCAACTATCAGTGGCTACAACCCATGATATACTTTGTGTGTATTTCAACCCTACTTTTTTAGAACATTATACAACAGCCATATAAACCCATTACTGTCAAAACCTCATTAAGCCCCATATGTGCCATGATCAAAACTGGGTAAATTGCCCGTGGGAGATGGTCATCAATCCATGGATTTCTGTATGAAGCTTCCCAGGGGATCAAAACCTACTGGGGAAGTGGAGATCAATCAATTTCAGCAAAGTGTTGACCGCTACCATTTCAGCCTCTGGTCATTCAATAGCTGTGCAAAACGGATCAACATGGCTCATTTATACATGACTTATGATGATAAATCTCGATTCAAAATGGTGTTTTTCCAGTTCGCAAGCCATGAAATGACCAATGGATAACCCCTAAATCATCATCAAAATACCGCGCTACCGCGCTTTGCGGAGGTTTGGACCCCCATTCCCCAGCATTTGCTGCTGAAGACCACGGACAACCCGCTCGGGAAGACGGAATTCGATCCGTTAATCCGTCGCTTTCTCAGCGGCGGAGAGGACATGGAGATGTTTTTGTGGCAGTTCGCGAGATGTTTTTGCAGCTTTTTGCGGGTGGGTTGAAAACCAAAGGTGCTTGATAAGAAGTTGAGTGGAATTCCAGACTATCCGTTTGGGCTAGCGAGTTGCGGTGATTGCCTTGCAGAAACGACTTGAAATCGCACAATTTATCACTTCCGTGTAGACAAGGGCCACTGCGAACAAATCGACCGTTGTTAAGCTGTTCACCCATTCTATTTGGTATGACATCCACATTTCCATGGGTAGAACATCCATGTACTGCAAATCCATTGCAGTGGAGTGACTGGAATGTTCTTGGCTAGATACTCAACCCTCTGAATTCCTAGTATTGTCGCATAGCTGAATATCTCAGCAAAACACCAGAGTAGTTGGACTATGCAATTATCATCATCATCATCATCATCATCATCATCAGCATCAGCATCAGCATCAGCATCAGCAGCATCATCCTCGACCCCATCATCGACCTATTGACCTCATCATCGACCTTATCATCGACCTCATCATTGACCTCATCATTGACCTCATGATCATGATAAAGTAGTAGACACTTACTCATTGTTATGTAATCAACTAATAGAATTATATATATATATATATATTTGGTACCCCCCCATGTAGAACACATTATCATCTCTTGAAAACATCATGTTAAACTTAAAGGTGGCTATTGGGAGTGGCTACATACGATATCTGGGTGAATCATCACGACCTCACTGGTTTCTGATTCCAGGTTGCTGAAGCGTTGCGTTTTCCAGCCAGATATATGGATATGACCACACACACAGAGGTTTAATTACACCCTATATCACTATATAGCAAATATATATATATAGACATACAAGTGATTATTATTATTTTTTTTTTTTACAAGTGTATATATCTATAGATATATGCATATATTTTGTGAGATGTTGCTATTTGAAACCAACTTCACTTCGTTGATGGCTAAGGCATCGTTGATGCCAAGAACGGAATCATGGAACCTCGGCACTTTCAGTTGACATGAACTGATTGGCCCTTGGAATTTAGGTGTCTAACATACTATAGTGTGGTTGGTGGTTCACAATTCATCTGAGAGGTATGATGATATGATATACATTTCATACATTTATGAAGTTTCCGTTCTGTACAGAATTCCCTCCTTTGAACATTTTTCCACTTCAAAAGAGTGCATGCTGAATGGAAATTACAAAGAAGCAGCGAGAAACAATGTGGAGACCCCAACGGCTTCATGGGTGATATGTCAGCCCCCTGGAACATTGGGCCACACCGCGAAGCAGCATGATCTTCAGGTCCATTCATGGCTAGCTGGATTTCTACCCACATATTTCTGCCGTTAATTAATCCCCGTTCATGCCTTCATGCTTGACAAAACGGCTTCAGGAAGCAACTTGGGTTGATCGCGCTGAAACGGAGTTCGATGTGACCTTGGAATATGAGTATTTTCCTTTCGACAACCAGCTGCTGGACACGGAGGGAGCTGATTGGGGCTATGGTACCAGAGATTTGACCTATAGCCATATGATGCCATATGTAGGACGTTTCCTAATTTGTTGGATATGTTTTAGATGGATTTATTGACATATGTTTGACGTTCTCTCTAGATTCTCAACCGGAACTTTGACATCGAACTTTGTCCTATTTCCTGGTTGGTCCTGGACAAGTCCAGGTATTTCCTCGTGTTTTGTGATGTTTTTTCAGCTGTTGACATCACTGCCTTTATATCACGAATTGCCAGTACAGAAGATTACAGATTCAAGAGTCGTTAAAGACCATTAAAAAAGGATGATGTTTTTATATGTACTGAACCCTGACTATGCCACAAGTAGGGGGAGAGCGAACTGTTGGAAATAGACTCAGCAAATTTTCACTACAACGAAGGACAGGTGTATTGGTTTTGTGAACTCATGCCATCCTTGGGCGTCCCAAGCTGCAAATCTTCAGCATTTATGATCATGATGATAAGTATATGATTAATACATATTAATACTGGCAACAACCATGATAATGATCATATGCAGCATGTTTATTAATAAGTTATGATCATTTGAGTTTCTTTTGGAAGAGACGTAGCGGTCCCACCCTACGATCTGAACTCACGGAGAGGACTTGTGTTTGCCCTTCGACTACTTTGCGGATCCGACCTTTCGGACCTGGAAGGGCGTAGGCGCTTTTCGTTCGTGACGTCATGGGCACAAAGAGACTTTTCAGGTTGGTGATTATTAATATATGGTGGTTATATAATAGTGTTATATAGTGTTTAATAATGGTGAATATATGTTAATATACTGTTAATATATGGTTATTGGATATATATATATATGGTAACATTTACCATAAATATACCCCCAATGTTCGTATATATACCATACATGGATCCTATGGGTCATTGGAAATTGGACATTGTCACAATCATCTGCCCAGGAGACCTGAAAGAAATTGGATAGCACTGGACTGGCTGGACAGATTTCTCATTTACTGTAACAAAAAGATGGGCTAAATTTAAGAGGTCTGTGAAGGTATTTTTGGAAGCCACGGTGCCATGCTAATGCCATGCTTTTGGAATTGAAGGTCAACCAGCTTCAAAGAAACATGGAGAAACTGCTACAGTCTGGCTGTTTTTTGTCGCCCCGGACCAGACACCCGCGCCGGAACGCCACTGGAGCTGGGGGGGGTGCAGATGGTAATCAAAGATAGCAATGGACAATCCATTGAGTTCGATGATTTGCCCAGCAAACGAAACCTACATTTAGTTCGAGGATTTTCCATTGCCACGTTTGATTGCCGGAGCTTCAACCAATGGTTTTGGGGGTGGTATAGCATAGAGTTCTTTTCCGCATTTTTCCAGGGAAAACAGGCTGAAAACAACATCATTTTGCGATGTGAAGGATTTTCAGCATTGCCGGAATATTCGGAGCTTGGAGTAGATTGGAGTGCTGGAGGGTGACTGGGGCGCCTTTCATTTAAGACGATATACTGGAGAAACTACAACCTCCATTGTTTCCATTGTTTATGCATGTCTATCTGTGTATAGATGACATATATATATATATATATACATATATATGTATTCCAATTCTTTCAGGTATTCATACATGTTTGGTTGCTGATTTACTGTAGTTTTTCTTCCACCATCACGTAAAACCAGCATTTCTGTTTAAACCATCCTTTTTACTGCCATTTTCCGCACCCAAATCAACATAATTTATCGTTTCAATGCCTTTTTATTCTACATTTTGAATCCACCATTTTGTTTGCCACAAATCCATATATGCCATTCAAAATTGGTTCAATGATCATTTTTCACGGTAAAACCGGTAAACCATGCAAATTTTTCAGATGATATTCCGATATTCTTGTTGGTTTTTTAGCCTTTTTTGGCCGGTCAACTCTCAAAATCACCAGCTCAAAACTCAATAGATTGGTTTAAGGGAAAATCTTAACCGGAAACCATCGACTTTCCCATTAGATAATTTCAATATGGGGCTTTCCTGTAAATTTTCCCTTCCAATCCATTGAAAAACAGCCCGAAGGAGCTGGAGAACGTCTCTGTGCGCTGGAACTTTGCCAGCCGGTTGTCGGAGCTCGCCTCACAGCGCTTCGTCACCGAGTTGCTGGGACGATGGAAATCACCGGATGAAGCAGACAGAAGGGGTTTTGACGATCAGAAATAGGATGAAATGGAACGTTATGTAGACATATGTGACATATATATATATATTATATGTACATCAATATATATGTATATACATATATATATATATAGATATATATCATTCCATGTATGCATGAATATATCTATACATATACATAACATATCTATCAACAATGGGAACTGTCGTGGATGAAGATTCGCCACCTCACCGGCCTTGAATCATGGCGTGGTGGGGATAGCCGCGGGAAAACGGGCAGGTCTGTGTGGATAGCCGTGAGCCTCAAATGGGCCATGTTCATACGGAAAACGAGGTCCAAAAACCATTCTGGTTGGTGGTTTGGAACATGAATTTTATTTTCCCCCATAGTTGGGATGATGATCCAATCTGACTTTCATATTTTTCAGGGGGGCTGAAACCACCAACCAGATTTTCAGAGAAGTCAATTTCCAGTTTGGGACGTATGATCATTTGTTACCCTGAACATCCGTTTTATCGGATTTCGATGGAGAAACCGATGCCCAGGTGTTGATCTGGCCGGCTTATTTGATTTAGATCTAATTGGGATATTGAGAAGTATGGAAGACCCATTCCAATCATAGATGTTCTTTTCCACTGAGAGATCCACAATCGTAAACCATCCCGAATCTTGGGAAGCTCATCTCATCCCAGTATTTATATAAAGTTTCAGGGTTTAAACCACCAGAGAATTCAGTGAGAATATGAGCCACAGGATAGAACTTTGTTGTGATTTATGTAACTGGGGGATACCCACAAAATAGCAATCTATCAATGGAATAGGCTGGCATATGTTAATGGACACCCCCCACATTTAACACGGAACCTGAAACATGGGTCGAACAAAGTCCTTTTCCATTGGTTGGTTGATCAAAAGGACATTATTGGAGTATGTTGGATATGGCCTTTGTTGGGTTCTTATGTAAACTTTACGGGTGTGTGGGATCAATGTTGACATTTCGTGAAAAAATACACTTTCTTTTTTCCAAGAACAAGAGCATACCGAGGAACATATGCGAAAGAATTGAATTTATGATAATATACTAGTAGACATTTCCTTCAAGTATCTTATACACCAACAATGTGCAAGGAGATGGAAAAACGATCCCATACCCTCGGGAAAAGTATGAACACATTTCATCGAGAAGATGGAATTCATGACCACTGACATTTCTTGCATTTTTTTTCCCTAGGAAAAATGAGAACCGGCTGAAAACAGGAGTTTGCCGCTGAAAAAATGTGCTTTGACCCGCTGAACAAATTTGAAAATGATAGATTTGTGACAACTGAAGAAGGATTTATGATGTTTGCAAAAATCGAAGCTGGTAATTTTTTAATAGAAAGTCCGCCAAAAATGGGAGAATTCACAGTGATCGCGGAAGATCAATCCCACCATCCATCCCAACAGCCATGGTTAGTATCAAAATGCTGCTGACTTGAGCCATGGCTTTACCACAGTATAAACCATCCCTCTGGTAAACGTTTACATAGTGAACTGGAAATTGGCCCATAGAAATAGTTGATCTACCTATTATAAATGGTCATTTTCCATAGTTTTTTGTAAACGTTTACCAGAGGGTATAATTTTTCGGTGTCAACGTTCCCAGGTTGGAGCGCAAAGGATTTGAGGTCACCAGCATTCAGGTCCTTGCACGGCCCGGGCTTTTGGACCGTGCAATGTTTTGTGCGAATCTCCACCTGTTGGTGAATGACATTCGGATCCGAACTCTTACAGTAACTCCCCAAGTTCTTATTGGTGAAATGAATTTGTTGTAGCCCCACGTTGTCGTAGATTTAAGCGACTCTTGTTTATGATATCCCATTGTTGGTATGTATATGGTTAAAGTTGCATAGTACAAGGTTTTTCGCTGGTTAAAAGTAATTTGACTATACAGATAAATACACAGACAGATAAAACAAATATTACATCCATTTGGGTGAATTTTAACGACCTCACTGGCCCGAGGTCACTAGATTTTTGAATGGGAACCACCCGCCAATTTCACCAAAGAGTTCAAGTTGGTGAAACCATGGTATCTGGTCAAACCTTTCAAAGTTGCTTGAGCCAAGAATAACCCCCACTGTCGCAGTGGGGCAAATTAAATACTGAAACACATCTTTTTCTTAAAAAAATACATGTGTCTCTGAGTATCCCACTGTGCTCAAACCAGATAGAATCCTCATTTTCTATCATGGTACCCATTTGTACCCGTTAAACACCCTAAGAAACATCCATTCTTAGGAGGCCGAGTGTTTCGGGTCAGATTGAACAAGCAGGTTTGTTGGGTGGTTTATCATCATTTTCCATATTGACACTGCCATATTAATATAATTTAAACACACCCATATAGATTCTATCTTAACCATTTGTAACCATCATGCCAGAAGAATGGGTTGAAGGAATATTTGCAGGAACACCCTATACATATATATATATATACACACATATACATATATATATATATGTATAGGGTGTAAACGCCATGGTTTTCCTGAAAAAAAATCTTATACCGATCCATTGAACATCCTTTTTTACTGGCAAAATCCGAGTTTTTCTAGATCCATCCATCCGCACCTCAGGGGTTCAAATGGACAATGCCATAAACCCACCATCCCCCAGTCATCACCATGAATATTGGTTGGTGGTATAAACTTACCATTCCCAGGAAAATGGGTGTTTTATGGCATTGTTTATTGTTTCACCCACATTCATAGGTGTTGACCCATCCCCAAATCTCTCGCCAGTCCATCAAGCACGACGATTCTGCCATTGGCAGCTCCATTTGTCTGGAGATTACGGTGGTGCGACGCTGCTCGGTCTGAGGACCAGGGCGTTGGTGGCCGGCTAAGTCACAAGAAAGCCACAGAGGAAAAAACGTGCGAAATTTCATTGGAATAATTATGAATCATTTCATTGGAATAATGGGATGGTCACTGGTCAGGTCTGAAAATATAAGATACCATAGAAACCCCCCAAACTGGTGATTTTTTTATGGGTGAAATGATGATGGACGCCCACCCAACGATGGAGGTTTGGCCGCGACAACTGAAGACACACAGGGATTTGACCAACAAAAAGTGGGGGTTTACCGGGCAAAGAGGGTTGTTGGAAGGAATATCTAATCTTTGAGGCATTTATTTTCTTGCTGATCTCCATCCTTCTGAAGGGAATGGTTACAACAACAGCGAAACCAATGAAGTACAACAAAAAGCAGAAACAAGATGAACACCAAGAGCGACAGGAAGGGAAAGAAGAAGAGCAAGAAGAAGACAAAGGAGAGGAGGAAGAAGTACGAGACAACAGTCCAAGCAACAAGTCAACAAACGCCTGGCAGTAGCAACGCCCGGCAGTTGTGAGTTTTTTTTGCTACATTTGAGGTCAAGAGTTGGATTATACACCATATTGGGAGATGGTGGTCATACCACCATGAGGATTCCCAAAAGCGGCGGGATAAGCATGCTTGACACATAGAATCACCATGTCTTCATCCCATTCCCTGACCATGCCACAGCTGAGGCATCACCATTCTGATCCTGCGATTTTTCTTCCCATTGTTTTCTCTTCTCTTCATTCCTTTCGCAGGTGAGGACGGATTCGTGGTGTGGATGTGAGTCCCATTTCAATCACCCTGTGGATTCCGGTTGCGTAGTAGGTACCCTCCAGTTAAGAACACCATGTAGTTCGATGCTTCATTGCTGTTATGTCAGGGGGCGATTCCACTGATGAAAGATGGCAGTGTTGGACTTTGTGAAACCAAAAGTGGCCATCTCAACAACATGCCACCCATAAAAAAACCACCAGATTTGTTAATTTTAGAAGACCTCAGCACAAACTAGGGCCTAGGGCTTGTCTGAAAATAGGGTCTTCCAGCCGTTTTTTTGGACAGCCGCAGATATTTCTCGTATCCTTCTTTATTTTCTTTCCCATTTGTTGTTGATAAGTCATTAAAGAATAGATTGGTGGTTGACCCCATGATAGTGTGTAAACTCATGCATACCATCTCAACTGATGTAAGGCATACACCTTCCCAGATCACCAAATTCTTGATGGTCAAATCACGTAAATCAAATCCCATATTCTGAACCAAACCTGGTAGGTTAAGCCATGTTGAGCCCCATTTCGACCCCATTTCGAAAGGTGTAGCAACCCCGCCAAGAAAAGATGCAGATCTCAGCAACTCCATTTCAGACAATAACGTAGTACTAAACTGAAACTCAGAAAAGTGGCATTAATTTCCCAAATAGTGGTTAAATCATCAACCTTTTCCATGCACAGATCCTTTTGTTGGGCTTACTTCATTCGCCCCTTGGATGAATGTTTATCTATGGATGATTTATGATTTTTTCTTGGGTCGATTTTGGAATGATCCATAGGTAAACATAAATCTATTGATATCTTTGGCTTTATGTCACCTTTTGGCAATTTTTTGGACTCTTTACGGTGAAATAATCAATAACCTTTAAAATCTGGTTAATCCGTGTTGGGTTCATTCATTTAATAGCGGTTATACCATCTTTTCAAAAAAACATACATCTCGATTTAACCATCAGTCTATGTTGGTAACCATACATTTAGCATCGTTTAGCAATCCATTTCAACGTCACACAATGTTTATTAACAATCTTTAAAGTGAGGCCATACATTTAACCATCAGCATATATTGGATTATATATATATATTGGTAGATATGATTAATTTAACTCCATATATTAACCATCAGTTATTATATCAGTATTTAACCATCTTTAGATTAACCAATGGTTAGTTCTATACATCAGTATTTAACCATCTGTATACTAACCAATGGTTAAATCTATAGCGTCAGCCCTTTTCCAACGCGCCAAGCTTCTTCATTCCCATTGAGCAGGTGATGCCGCGGGTGGCCACAGGCTTCATTAGCTTCCTATCGCTGCAAGTCTTCAGGCGCCTTCGTTCGATTCCGGGAGCTTTTTTTGTGGCAAACGTGGTGTAAACTTGTTTCCATGGGTTTTGATCATTCTTGATCATTTTTGGCAGGTGAAAGTCCTATTTTCACATATTTTCACATTTATATATGCCACAGAAAGGTGACCAACCCCCACACAAAAAGGGCTTGGCTGAAGGATTTATGAAAGGTTGGCTGAATAGTCATAACCCATAGGATCCATGTATGCCATATATGGTAACATTTACCATCAATATACCCCAAATGTTAGCATATATACCATACATGGATCCTATGGGTAATGCTACCCCAAGGTAAAACATACAAAAAGATGTGGAAAATCCCACCGTTTCCCGGAGAACTTCGCCGCGCCACTGCGTCATATTTGGGCCAGGACGATGGCGTATTCGCTGATTCCCAAACAATCCTCGTCGCTGTTGTGGATGGACGTGGCGGGGCGGCAGACATCGGGGTTACCTCCAGCCGACTCCAACCTCATCAACTTGTCACTTTTGGGAAACGGTGAAATGGGTCAATTTTACCCGACCAAGTTTTCCCCACAATTTTTTTTTTGTTGGGGAGCAGCAGCCTTGACTGCCTTGACTTGAGGGCCCTCCATCCATGGTCTCCCAAAAACGGCTGGCTACCCTTGGCTTAAGGTGACCATGTTCTCGGTGACAGTTATCATGCCACTCAGCAGGAAGAGAGAAATCACCGGGAGCTCAAGTGCTTCAGCAACGATTTAGCAACAACAAATTTCACGATATCATTGGAATGCATGGTATATGCAATGGGTAAAATTACCATAACATATTGTAAATGGAACAACAAATGGGAACATCATTACAATTGTTGGTACATGGTAAGGATATCTAATGATCATTGGAATGTACTTTTTTAAAACATACTGTGGATGGTTGCGAAATCCTGCACCACCAAACGGATGGTTGAAGGCCTATAGTGGGATAAACCACCAATCAATGTCATGTAGGGGATGGTCTTCATGGCTTTGTCGGTAAACATCGGTAAACCATCACCGTTGGTACAACTGGTTAAGAAAGATGAGTACGTGCGTCTTCACTCGCACTTGGACCAACTGGCAAGCATTAAGTTAGTATATGCCCTGCAGAAAATTCACTTAGACCCTGGTAGTCATCGGGGTTGGAAGATGAGTTTCCACTAAAAACCGTGTTATATATCCAGGGTCTATGTTAATTTACCAGAGGGTAACATACAGATACTGTACAATGCTGGAGAATCCAAGAGAAAATATCACTTTGCAATAGGATAGTTTGTTGGCATTCATTTTTTGATCATGGTTCCTGTGATTCCTGTGACATGTCCCAGAACTGGGTTTCTGGGTTTCGGAGGACTTTGGCGGCTCCAGTCTCGCTCTTTTTTTCTGACCTATTGGCTGTTTCCTGAAATAGTAATAGGGATACCCCGAAATCGTGGCATTGAAAGAATTGAAAGCAGTGGGTTCCTTTAGCGTACCAAATCCATACCCAGCGAAGCTCGCTGAAAATCCTGACCCTGTGCCCAAAATCCTAGGTTTGCCAGTGTACTGGAGAATGTCTTGGCTCAGGCGCAGATGACATGGGGGGAAAGTAACCAAGAAACACTCAAGATTTCACCAAACACGGGTGGAATTTCATGATTTTCAAGCGGAACCAACGATGGGGATCTGATTTGATCAATGGGGATGTCACAAAAGTGGTTGGCAGCAGACCCCAGAAATTCACCGTTTTGGTAACGCTAAACCAACCCTAAAGAAACCCTGGGCCGGCGCTAAATAAACATTACACAAACCTGAAATAAAGCCTAGGCCCTAAACCAGCCCTAAATAAATCCTAAACCGACCCACAGTGAACCCTAAACCAAGCCTGAATAAACCCAAATGTGGCCTGAAGCAGCAGCATTGGTAGCACAAACGGCAATAGGAGTGTAAACTGTCGAAAACATGGCCCTTCACGGCTTTGCATTCAGAACCCTACCAAGATTAAACAAAAAGAAGAAATGGAATAATAGCACTGTCAATTCTTTTGGTAGGCAAAAAAGTATCGAACAGTGGCTACGCAAGTTGTAGTTTTCGTGAACATGTCTGTAAATAGGCCGTGCTTCTAAAATCTTCTATATAAACAGTTTTTCCAGCTGAAACACGGATATATGTAAGAGCTGACCAACCACGAATCTTCTTCGCTGCCAATGGGAACGAAAGCAAACCTGGCAAATCATGGGATGGGAAACATGAAACCCTGGGCAACGCCAAGTGCGAAGCACATGTTGAAGCGAGGACAAAGGCACAACGACGCTGCAAAAAGAAAGGCGTGCAACGTTGTTCAATTTGCGTTTTCAAAAGCATACGGAAAAAATACGCCACTTTTTCACGCAAAGACACCACTTTTTCACTGTTTCACTTTTCATTTTTAGGTTTTCCACTGCGATTTTCGCCAAACAAAATCACCCAGCTGAAAATCTTTGAACTTTTGCCCCTGGATTCCTGGAATATTTCTCTTCAATTTTCAGCTACTTCCTTCTTGGCCGATGGACCAAGGGACCCCGTGCTGCATAAGTAAAAACCAACAAATTGCAGTGATAGGGCAAGACAGTCTCGACCCAAAATTGGTTTGACAAGATGTGCATATTGGAAATGATGTCGTTGAAATCATCCTGGCGTTGCTGATGTTTTTTCCGCTTTAAACTTGCAGTATTTGATTCCATGTGTTTGCAATTCAAGCGGAAATCGAAGAGCGCAATCAAGACATATCAAAACTATATATTCAACTTCTGTAGTTACAAAGAAAAAACACTGTAACCTTCGGTGCGGATGAAGAAATCTCAACATCTTTAATTTCCATAATTTTCCATAGCTACATCCCCAAGCAAAACGCTGCCCGTGACTTTCCAGCCAGGCCATGCGCGCGAACATCTCCAGCATCTCGGCGCGTTTCGTGGACAATTTCTCGCGGGTCACATTTCCGATGCGCCTCGGACGTTGGAGACGAGATGTCGAGGGGCGGGATGACCGGGAGGAGGATCTGAATGTGGGATATTAGCGGTTAATGATGGTGAATAATGGGATATGTATATATATATATATATTAATTATAGGTATGTATATATGGTATACATTATCTCTATACCCCTACTTCTTAACAATTGGTGATTAATGGTTAATAATGGTTAAACATGGGGGAATAAAAGGGTTAATTTCCGGATATTAGTGGGATTCAATGGGGGTGTAAATTGGGTGGTTCACTTGAGCAGTGTTCAAAAACACTTTTGGTTGATGTTCTCCCTTTGGGTAGCAAAACCCTTCGTATATAGTAATCCATGAACTGGGAAATCCAGTTCTTGACAAACCGGTATGATTTTTCAATAAACCATGCCATGTTTTTGTTTAGCCGCAAAGATTCGTTCGTTTTCGCAAGGTTTCAATTGCACCTTGCAGTCCAGTTTCTGGTGAATTTTCAACCGGCGACGGAGCTGAACATGATTTGGTCCAAATCACATGCGCCATGGTCAAAATTTGTGGATTATATAGATGAACCCATTAATTGGGGGATAGTCATCCATCAAAAACGAATTATAGTGGCCAACAGGTCAACATAAAGATCGATGGATTATTGATGGATTTCAATACACAGTCACAGATAGTTTGTAATCCATCTTGTGTAACATATATTTGCATCATGGGATGGGTTGGAATGCTCAAAAATCCTTTGGCCGAGGATCGGACTATGCCTCCTCGTGGTGCTGTTCATCATGGGTGCGATGAACGTCCCTAAACGAACGACGATTTGGCGACGGGCATGGGTGTAATTATGAGAAATCTCCCCAGCGTAGCCGTCAGAAAGTGCTAAAATTCGAAAAACAATTATTTTTGCAGCAAAAACATGGGGAAAAGGAAACAAAGGTGTAGGTCCAGTCAACTTGTAGTTTTGACCCAGAAACAAATGCACGGTTTCGATATGTTTCGATAACAGACGCATGTATGGCCGGGTAAGGCCAACAGATTGACCATCACCGTCACCGTCCACGGCACAAAATGCGCTCGTTCTACAACAACAACAGCAACAACAACAACAACGACAACAGCAGCAACAACAACAACAACCACAACCACAACCACAACCACAACCACAACAACGACCACAACCATAACCACAACCACAACCACAACCACAACCACAACGACAACGACAACGACAACGACATTGACAACGACAGCGACAACAGCAACAGCAACAGCAACAACAACAACAACAACGACAACAACAACAACAGCAGCAACAGCAACAGCAACAGCAACAACAACAACAACAGCAACAGCAGCAACAACAACAACAACAACAACAACATGATCATGATCATGATCATGATCATGATCATCATCATCATCATCATCATCATCACCCCAGAAAATCGTATCCCCAGTGTCTTGGAAACCAGGTTGACAACACATTCACCATGGTGGTCCGTTTATCTATCTTGACCTTCTGGTTGGTTTCCTTCGCTGTGGCCGTCATCCTGTGCCTTGGTTCGGATGCTTCGGAGATGGGTCAAGTCGTTGGCGTGGCAATGGGGTTGATTTGTTGAGCCTCATTCACATCATAGCATATCATAACCATGTATTTGACCACTAATGGTTAGTTTTATTTTTTAAGTAAACATCATAACATATCATAACAATGTTTTTTTCTTATTTTTTTATTGTTTGGGACCACTTTTTTTGATCCACCCCCGCCGGGCGATAACATGATACAATTCGTTGGTGGTTTCCATCACTCTTGACTGGCGTGCTTCCAGTTTCCCGTTTTGATGATCCACATTTAGTTGACCTTTGGGGGGTTGACACCAGCAATCAGTTGAACATCCTTTAAAAACATGGTTCTCCGACGAAAAAAGTGGAACATGGTCTTCAGAATTTGGTTGCATGTCGATGACGCCGGAAACCGTTTTCTTCTGTTGTTTCAGCCATCGCTTTTCTGTTGTTTCAATGTGTTCAATTGCAATGTTTGTTAGTTCTTAACCCCCATCTTCGATGGTTCCATCCTAACTGTTGCTGCTTCAACCCGACAAGACCCCACAACTCTGGTGCTGTAGGTGCATTCGCCGGCTGCCAGCGACCCTGATGAAGACGTTGGTACGACGAATCTCCAGCACTGCAGCTGGGATGATGCCTTAGTGTTTTTTTGGACTCACAAAATATACTGTGTATATATATATATATGTATATATATATATATATGTATGTGATAGATATGGGTTTTGACCAATGTCATAGATATTTCTATCGGGGTCTTCCTTTTTTTGGGTACATGGATGACAGTTTTCCTGGTTGGACAACTATCGATGGTTGCAGGTCGTTCCTTTGGGATGATTCAGGCGACCACAGTTGGTCAGTTTGAAGCCTCACGCGGTCAGATTTGGGGCTCCAAATGATCACGATTTTCGATGGCGAACTTGTATGGAATACAAAGAATGACCATTTCTTTCCCATTTCTGAAGTGTTGCTATGGATCGAAGATCTTCAACATACCCCACCAACCATTGAAACACCTAACGTCGATGGCATCGGCAACAGGACTTTCGCTACATGAATTCGATTCCGTTGGACCCGATGGAACTGAAAATCGTTGCTGGGCGTTCCGGAACTGGGGGGATTTTCCAGAGAGAAAACTGGGGGATTTTTCATCCCCAAACTTGGATGGGTCGCTGATCCTTTTGTTTTTTGCCATAAATGGAATATCATGGAATTAAATTATATTTATAAATGGAAAATAACCAACCATAACCAGCAAACAGATCATATTTTTTTGTGGAATATCAAAGATTGACCATGGTTTTTGAGACCAAGCGTAATGATACATTTGGATATCGTTTTGGATCGCATGGATTCATGTTCAGACCCCAAAAACCGGGCGGCGCCAGTGGTCGAGGTTTCAAAAGGCACGCAGCAGGGATGTGATCTCTCTGCACCAGTTTTTTTTCTCAGGAAACTGTGTCCGGCAGTGCAGTTCAAGATGGGTATCAAGTATCAAGGAGAGGAACATGTGTCTCCGATTCTCCGATTCTCGGACGATGATCATTTCTGAGCACTGGAGTCACTGGAGCACCGGAAAGAGATCACTCCATCGGATGGACGTTAGGCAGTCAGCGCAGATGTGCTCAGTGGAGGAGGCCATGATCATCGGACATGGCACGGCGCCAACAATTTGGGGCCCTACCCAGAGACTGGGCGCGCCCATGATCTGGGGGCTCCAGTGCAGGTAATTTGTGAGCTTCTGGCAGGAAAAACCACCCAATTGATTGTAATCTTAATTTGACATTGTGATGATTTACTTTTCTGCATCTTTTTGGGATATCCTACATAAACATCCATGCATATATTTCATGAACGGACGCTGGTGCTCGTGTAAGGGCGAATCTCACGTTTTCCGCCAAGTTAGCTTCAAGGTCTGGACGGCTGGGCGGAACCATGGAGCTACAAAATAAGTTTCCCAAGAAATTGGTGTGTATACACCATATACACCAGTGGTTGATACCAAAAAACATGTAGAAAAAAATCACCAAGTTGGTGGTTAAAAAAAAACCGTCTCTTTGTCGGTCACCTATTTGTTGGTGAAATCCTCCTGGTGAGACTCTCAGGGTCCGGGCCAAAAACTTGGAGGCTACATCTGATGAACCAGTGGGTTCCAGTGGGTTGAATCTGGGTTTAATATGGGATTAATGTGGGTTTAATGTGGGTTTAATATGGGATTATAGTTGTCAATTTTCAGAGAAAGCGCTAGCTGAGGTTTTTAAAACAATCGATACAGATCGCAGTGGAAATATCACCGCTGACGAGGTGTGGGCAGTGGATGTGAGGCATTGACAGGATCATAAACTGTACCCATTTTTTCATTGGAGTTCTTTATAGACGTTTAAACATTGGAATTTATTATTGGATTATTTGGATTTATCTTTGGAAGATTTTTGGGTTACTATTTATCATTTACCATCATTTGCCCATGACCATGATGATGAGTGTTTAAGCAACCCAACATCTTTGGATATCAGCATCAAAGAGGCCGGAATTTCAAGGGCAGTTGCATTCTTTGGAATTTTCATCAAGAGGGAGAACGCTGACCCACATTGGGGGTACCCTCTGGTGTCATCAAGCCTGGCAATGGACAATTTTTAATGGGAAAATCATCGAGCTGAATGGGGGATTCTTCAGCAAACCATGTGACCAACCCAATCGTCCAGGATAGACATCTGTTAGGGGAGCCAGGAAAATCAGCTGCTTGAGGAATTTTGGGACCCATTTCATGAACATGGACTGGTACCCCAAAAAAATCGGATGGCCATCCCCGAAAAGATTAGAAACGTGGTCTCAGGAGGTTATAGATGATACTTAATAATACTTAATACATATTTGCAGGTTTCCTACTTTTATATACTTTTATATCTACTTTGGGGTTGCTATACACTAAAAACGACAAGCGTTTGGTTTGATTCCATCCCGAAGATGGCCAAGTGCGTCAGTTTGGTGTGGCGCTGCGCTTGTCGCGTACTCTTCGAAAAATGGATGCATAGAAAATTAATACATGAATCACCAAAAAATATTGTAAAACTAATTTAGTCTTGCTTCGCCTTAGCCTTGCTGAGGGGCGTGAAAAACCTTCATTACCGATAGGGGACAACCTTAAACCGATACCATCGTTTGGTAACGCAGAAATCCTCACTTTCGGCAGGGGACGATCCTAATTTGCGTGTGGCATGAAAATGCACAAGTAATTTCGTGCGCCATTCGCGTGTTGATACTGTGAATTGCATTAAGCAACCAATATTTACGGTCCCGAGCCTTAGATATCGACCAGCCATCAGTAAAAAGATTGATGCATGGAACCATTTTGAAACAAGTGTGGATTTTTCCCAGACTTCCGTGAGCCCAAAAAGGTTCAAACCGTGATATGAAATAATGATAAAGTAATTAATTACTCGTAATGTGAATCAGTGAAGTAATAAATATGAACTAAGATGATGAAAACATACGAGGCGGGCCCCCCCAATTTTAAGTTGGTTTATCATACCCATGAACTGTAGTTCTATCCCCCATATCAGTGGATTGGTTTAAGGAACTATTTACAGGACACCCCCATATTTAATGGTAAAAACCACGGTTTCCAGTTAAGTTTTTCCCTTAAACCAATCCAATGACCATAAACCCCACATATCCCCCATAAGTGCTGGACAGGTTGTCCCACGCGCACGGGAGGTCTTAAAAAGTTTCGCGTTTCACGGCCTGTCCTTTGCAAAGGAGGACGGGTGTTTTTTCAGGGGGGGATGGAACTGATAGATTGGATTCTGGGTATATCTGGGCCAATTATCCATTAATGGTTAATGGTAAATATGTTAATGGTAAATTATCCATTAATGGTAAAATATCTGGGTAAATTATCCATCTGGGTTATTTAATATGTTTTAATGGTTAAATAACCAGAGGGTGTGAGGTAAATGATTTGTGACCTCACCTCGACCGAAGCCTGGAATCCAAATTTTTGGCGAACCATTTCAGGTTAGAGAAATATGATGCTTTACCCAGATATATGATACAATGTGGGGCCCCCAAGATAGTTTTGCTAGCCGCTCAACTTGAAGATTTCGATGGGTTGCAGTGGCTGCTGAGCAAACCAAGGGCCCCGAAGAATGGTGATGGCTTGGATGACTTGGGGATGGTTTATGGCATTGGGCTTACCACATTGATGAATTTCATGGGATTTAGATGGATTTAGCTAAGTTGGTTTAGTTGATCACTGAGGTTTATGAAGGAGATATCGCCAGTGAGATGGGGTTGCCAACTGGAACCACAAGGTAGACATGGGGGGTTTGGATGGTACAAATCTGATGGTTTTCAGATGTTTTCAGGGATTTAGCCATATTCCTCTATCATTTTTTAATGTAAATCCCGGATTGATTAATAGACCCTGGTTGATTAAAGATCGGGGGGTTAGCCCCAAATAGTGATGTCATCTGATACTAAAATGGTACCCAATGATCAGCAGCCGATGGGTTTTAACAAAATCCAGGGTTTACATTAACAAACATGAGTCTTTGACCAAGAAAAAACAGGGATTGCACCAACATCGATCAATGGGGTACGGATTAATATATCATTCTAAGCAAGAATTCATAATAATCATATACAATCATCTATAACCATATATAATAATATATAGTAATCTATAATCATATATAATCATGTATCATCATATATACTCATATATAATCACTTGTAATCACATATTTTCACATATATATAATCATATATAATAATATAAATCATATATAATAATATGAATATATATATATGCAACCATAGGGAAACTTGACCATGAGGGATTCAATCTCTCCAACGTGCCGTGCTCTCCAGGAGGATGAGGCCAATTTCAAAAGTCGCTTGAGGACGCAGGGCTCGTAGCTATGGAAATGCTATGGAAATGTGGACCCATTGATTACCCTCATGGTTAATAATGGTTAATAATGGTTAATAATGGTTAATAATGGTTAATAATGGTTAATAATGGTTATTAATGGTTATTAGTGGGTTATTCTCTGGTAAATTAACTTGTTGACCCTGAAAATGACCATAATTTATAGTGGAAACTAGTCTTTCAAACCCGATGAATGCCAGGGTCTATGTTAATTTACCAGAGGGTATATAAATTGGGATTACTAAATGAACATTGATGATTCTTAGGAATTACTAAATGGTGATTTAGCAGTTTGAATCATGACCAGAAGGTAAATCCAAACATATATGTATATATATATATATCATATCTTGGTGATATATTCCGTTTAATATCCCCATGATATGTTTAAACCATTGAAGTAACCATTGAATAAAAGTTAAGTAACCAAAACCAGGCTTTCTGAATATTAATCTTCAATGTTACTTGATTTTTTAAAACCAGGCACAGCAGGAGGTTGTTGGCTTCCCTGATTTCCCTGGCTTCGGTAGGAGCATGTTCGAGCTGCACGGCACCGGCACCAACAACAGGCGAGGCTGTTTCAGGGTAGGGTGGGTACCAAGGCTAATAATAGTTTATCAATGAGTATTATGATATTTATCAATATTTATCATATTATAATGGTATTATAATTTGATACTGATTTATCAATATTTCAGAAATTATCACTATTTTTGGGGCGTTTCCCCCCCATTTTTAGTAAGGGTGTATCAATCCGGGGGCGTTAACTCAGCCAATCCCACAGTCATCACGTACCAGGTTGGATTTGAACGCCTTCTGCCATCACTTCGGCGCAATCTTTAGGCCTTGCTGGGCCGGCTGGTGGTCTTGTTGATGGCATCCCTTTATATAACCCCCGGTGAAATGGTGTACACGAAAAACGGGTCAAGTCTGGGTGAGGTTTCTTGACCACATTTGCAACACGTTCCATGTTGCTTAAAAATTGAGGCCATCTGCATGGAATATCACCTCATATCCCCATGGAATTTTTCTCAGCTATATCCAGTTTTGTTGTTTTGGCACCCCGCAAAAAGATCCGAAACGTCAGTTCCAGTCCTGACATAGCGATGCTCTATAGGGTAAATTATAGTATATTTTAGTGACCTCACTGTGACCTCAGTGGAATCATGGTTAGGATTCAGGGAATCATCACCATGGCTGGCCTTATTTCAGGAGGCGCGTTGATAGTTAGCCTCGTGGTTGTGTGTGTCGTTTTCTTCTTTTTCTTCCAAGTTTTTTTCTTTCTCAATTTTATCCTGCGCTGGTTTTATTTTATCTGTGAATTCTGTGAATATGACTTTTCTGGATGGTGTGGTGTGGTGTGGGGTGGGGTGGGGTGGGGTGTGTTGGTGCTACGGTGATGATGGGGGTGGGGTGGGGTGGGGTGATACATCCCATTGGATGATTCTCCCAGAGCCTAGGAGCCTAGTCACAGTTTTAGTATCCCATGATCATCCCATTGTGAAATACTACAATACATATACACATATATATATATATACATATATATATATACATATATATATATACATATATATATATATATACATATATATATATATACACATATATATGATATTAGTATATGCATACACAGATCTCCATAACTCACCATAAATCACCATATATTTCGATATATTCCCATAATTCACCCATAATTTGCCAACATTTTCCACATTTTTTCCAGAGCCGGCGAACGCAGGTTCTACAGCCTAGAGGAGGAAGAGGAGATGGAGCTGATTGAGGAAGAGAAGGTGTGGAGATCCCGGGGATTTAACCATGAAAACTTGGGATTTTTTGCCATGAAAGCCATGGGGATTTAGCCAACAAAGATGGTGATTGAACTAACCATGATGGAGAGTCAACCAACAACGGTGGCGGCCGGTGGGAACATCGTGGGATATCATGGGACCGATTTTTGGGATTAACATGAGAAACATAGGTCGGGTTAACCAGCAATTTTCATTAGGAACCAGATGGATTTTTGGACTTTTGGAACCAACATGATTCACTCATCCACGTCTACCCTCTGGTAAACTAACATAGCTATTGAAAATGGCAATTTATAGTGGATTTTCCAATTGAAAATGGTGATTTTCCATAGTTATGTTAAATTACCGGAGGGTACATACACAGTTGTAAGCCTTGGATTGGAGAATGAACTTAAAGTTGCCATGAATGGAGGAACACGAAAGGGTGAGCGCCGATTTTTCGGACATACCCAGCCTATGGCTGAGCCTGCTTTATAGCAACTTTGAGAAACATAGACAAGTCAATACCAAGTCTAAATAGTCATGACTTACTTTTCTGCACCTTTTTGGGGGGTTATTACATGTTAAATGTTATTACATAAAATTACATACTTAAGCCATCTTAAGCCCCTTTATCTTGGACCCTCCACGTCTCCACACCCCAGGGCACGCCTTGCCAGGCAGCTATTCGCCAAACCTTACGCATGCGCCAGTCCCTTCGTGTGCGCGAGAGCGTTCGAGAGAGCCGTGTGAGCCACGACGTGAGCCACGCGTCGAGCCACGACAGTCACGAGAGCCAAGTGGGCCGCGTGAGTCGCCAAGACAGTCGCAAAAGCGAGGCGGGCACGGGCCGTCACGGACGGGGGCGATTCACTCCAGGTAGGGGTTCTGGATGGTTCTGGCACCTGTGAGAAAAGATGTTGCAACCATTTCACACAAGCGGCGACAGCCGGTTGACAACCATCGTGCAGCAATCCTGGCAAAGGAAGATCCACCCATTTTGCCATGGACGATTTGTCCAATATTTTTCGGTGCAGACTTGGGATATCCTGAGACAGTCCACCATTTGTGGCGTTGCCCTGTCCCGCCTGCAGGACGAGGATGGGTTTTTGTATCTGAGTGATCTATAGATATACCTATTTATAGCGACCTCACTGCGACCTCATCAACAATGATTCTGAAGACCATCCCCAATTTGGCCGAAGAAATCTGGTTTTGGCATTGACTTGAAATCGGTTGATGTCCCAGTTTCTATGGATCAGAGCATATCAAAATGAGATCCGGGGTCGACGATTTTCCTAAATGTAGCCCAACTGTTGGGTAATTTCCAAGTTTTGCTGGGTGAACTCAGGTCCAAAGCCCAATTTTTGTGGTTCCGTGAGGCTCCCTGGCCCTCCCCGACAAAGCGCCGCCTTGGGCCAGGCCCTGTCATCCACCGGTGGTGTGCTGCTGTGAGTTGCCGCAGAAAAAGTTCGGAAAAAGCGCCTGGGAAGTTTCTGTTTTCTGCCTCTTGGGGATGACAGTCCATGAAGTGAATCCTTTTTTTAAGCAACCAGTATACTCAGTATATTAATGGAATGACAGAGGCTTGGGAACACTGTTCATAAGATGTTTTCATGTGTTTTTTTTTGCGGATGATAGTGCCATAAGAGGATATGTGTTCTCAGCTGGTAAATGGCTTTAGACTGCTTTAGATATGTAGTGTTGATTCTCCACCACGCGTCCAGGCGGGAGGAGCAACATTGACTTTCAAAACCAAGACCTGGAAGACCTAGAAAACCAGATGGGGCAACTCTCCATGGTTTGAAACCTCCGCATTGTTTCCATGGGGTAACTCACCATTTTCTGCACCCCAATATCACATTATGTACCCTCTGGTAATTTAACAGTTTGCTATTGAAAATTGCCCATTTATAGTTCATTTACCCCCATTAAAACTGTTGATTTTCCATAGTTATGTTAGTTTGCCAGAGGGTATTTCTTGGTTCATCCCACTATTATAATATCTTTCCCGGCATTTCTGGTCGGGTTAAAACATGTGAAACCCCCATTTGGTACCTGTATGTACCTGTATTGGATGGATTCAGACTCCCAATACTCCGAGAGTTGTGCCTTCTCGGGAGCATCTACAGGAACCACCTTTTTTTGAGGTAAGAATCATGGTTTCCTGTAGGATTTGTCAGTTTCCCATGTTTAATTTTCATCAAGCCCTTGAGCAAATTTGGTTTGCACCATTTAACCGATTTAACCTCTTAAAATCTCATTGAATGAGCCTGAAAAATCCCATCAAAACTCATGAACACTCATTAAAATTACCATGAAAACCAATGAAATCACTCCATTGCATCCCCATTTCCTCCATTTTTTCCTCCACTTTTCTCACATTCGAACTTCGGAGGTCCGAAGGCTACAGCCGCGGTTGCAACGGCCTCGCGGCCGAACAGTCGCAATGCAACGAGGCAGGTGAACCATCCAGTTGAGGATGTTAAACTGGGCTATTTGTCCACTTTGAGTTGGTAAATCTCTCATTTGAGCCATATATGAAGATGGCCATTGGCTGAATTTGGATCCAATCTAAGTCAATGTTAGGATCTCATGTAGGGATTTACCAAATGCAAAAGGACGTGAATTTTCCCAGCGGTTGGACAAATTGGTGCCGTGGTCCTGGAATCTTGGCAGGAAAAGACCTCAGCCCAAGGCCGGGAAGCGCTGGATGTAGCCTCCGGCTGGGAAAAATCCGATGGAACAATCTGGAATACTTCGATGATTTTCCGAGAAACTTCCATCAATGAATGGGGAATATGGATGAATATGGGGATTTCCCATGGAGCTGATGATGGTCAAGCCATGGATTTTCCCAAGCCAACCAGTCACCGATCAGCGATTTTTCTGCCGTGATCATCGTGCCATATCGTGCCACCTGCCGGAGTATGGGTTGTTTGGAGATGTTTGGAGCGGCTCAACAGCCACTCAATCCTAAAGTTGGGCAGGATACTGGGCCGCCATGAATCTCTGTTCAGATGCTACATCCATTTGCGTTTCCCGTAGTATTTCTCAATCCAGGTTTCAGTTAGATCAGATTTTCACAAAAATCAATTGGTGAAATCTGAAATCTGCATGTTTATTGGTGAAATCACCACTCAAAGACACCCAAAAGAAACACCCCATGGCCCTCCATCAAGGTAGTCACGGGCCGGGCGACGCCTCCGCGCGCGGAAGCTCAGCGTTTGGGTCCGACATTTGCCAACTACCCTCGGTGGACTTGTCACAGGTCAATCAGCGTTAGGAAAATGATGGGAAAATGATGGGAAATACCATGTACCCTTTGGTAAACATACGGTAACGACATTTAAATATGTGGAGGGCGAGCCAGACCGCGAGGCCCCGGAGGTAGTATGAAATACCAGTTCGTATATTTGAAATTTAAATGTAGTTACCGTACAAGAAACTATGGAAAATCACCATCTTTAAGCTGGGTAAATCAACTATTTCTATGGGCCATATTCAATAGCAAACTGTTGAATTACCAGAGGGTAAATCGACTGATGTGTGGATTTTTGGATGAACTGTGGATGTAAGCCAGAACTGATGGTCATTGATTGGGAGACGATGGAATGTGGCGAAACAATTAGTAAACCGCAGGCTTTCAAGGACTGAAGCTCTACCACATGCTGATTGCATTGACTCGTTTTGCTCGACACGAAACTACCACGCTCGGGCACCTTCGGTGCCGGCGGATTTTGGAATACGTTTGATATCATCCTTAAAGATATCCAAAGATCTTTCAGTTTCTGTATTGAAAACAGTTGGGTTGGAAATAGATCGACATAACAATTTACTGTACATCCTTTTAACAAATAATGATTTTATCCCTAAACATCTCCGAAAGATCATTCAGTTTCTACCTTTTGTCAAGCCAACTGATCCCCGGTGCAGGTCCAGGATCTTCTCCAAGAACGCCCGAGCGAAGTGCTGCTCCCTCTCCACCAGGACTGGGAAAACTGGGCCGAGTTGAGCCCTGGGAGTCGAAGTCGTCCGAAGGAGGTCTATTCTTGATAGTTAGTGATAGTCAGTGATGGGATGTTTGATTGCCAGATACAGTAGTTAGTTATAGTTAGTTATAGTTAGTTATAGTTAGTTATAGTGAGTTATAGTCTATAGTTAGTTATAGTGAGTTATAGTCTATAGTTAGTGATAGTTATAGTATGTTATAGTGATAGTTTTAGTGATAGTCATAGTGACAGTGATAGTTATAGTGATAGTTATAGTGATAGTTATAGTGATAGTTATAGAGTTGTAGTCTATAGTGATAGTTATAGTATGTTATAGTGATAGCCTCTATTCCCAAGAGTTGAGTCGATTGCTTAAACATGTTTTTGTGATCATAGACTTGACCCGGTGCCAGTTGCGGTGGCAGAGCTTTTCCTGGAGGCTCGATGGAGGGCTGCTGGTTGGGCCCGGGTTGGGAGATTTTTGAGCGGATCTTTGGTTGTGAAAGATGAATCAAAACAAAAGAGTACGGTCAATCCTGGATTAGTCAACCCCGTGGCTCTTTTAATTGCAGCGTACCATTGCAGTGCAGTAGCAAAATGATCACTTTCTTTTTGGTTAACCCCACTCATGAATTACCCTGGGATTAACATTATGTTGAGGATGATGCTACGCTAGGTGGTCCTTTTTTTTGCACTGTCAACTCTACCAAGCTCCCCATCTCCATCGAATGCTCCATGCTATAGAAAAAGAACGAAACAGATCAGCAACCCAGAATCGGAACCGTACATTTCTATACATTTATAGGACCCACCCAGTTTTAATTCACTGGCAAAAACAACTGTAGTACAGTTTTCTGGAAAACCAATCCATCAAAACCAACTGAGGGGTGCTGGAACTCTTTGGCTCGGCAGGTGTTCCTGGAACTGAATGGTCCGGTGGAGGGGCAGGCCGGGCAGGAGGGAGATTGAACAATGGGGAAGGGAGTGGTCTTCGGCGCATTGTCTGGGGATTTCTACTGAGGTTTCCTACAATGGGACCCCAAAATGGATGGTTTATACATGAACAATCCCACTAACTTGCCTTCAAAATGGATGATTTGGGGGTACCCTATTTTAGGAACCCATATTATGGGTATACCGGTATAACCAATTTTCAAACACGTCCATATGACATCCTTTCTAAACATCTATTGATGTTCTATTATGTTTTTTTCCTTGGGATATAACTCGCCTAGAATATGATATTGGCTTTGTCATGGCATATATATAATCATATATATATATATATATTTCCCATTTTGTTGCCATTGCGGATGACTGGGGTACCGGATCACCCTATGTTTGGAGCATCTCAGGGATGATTCAAACACCTTTTCCTTCCTGAAATGAGTGTGAGACAGTTTGAGATCTTTCTCAACTTTCTCAACATGTTCCGAAAAAGCCCTTTTTGAGTAGGACGCCTAAAAAACAGCGTCATTGACTTTACCAAATGAACTGGGGAATCCTATAGGAACCCGGGCTGAGGATAGAACCTTGGTAAAAAATAACGTCCATGAGTTGGGATGTTATCTCCCAGGTTAAAATAGCATATTTTTTTATGGGCATAGACCATTTCCAGATCCCAATGTCATATCAAGTTGGTTACGGAATATTGAAAAAGAATGACAACGAACATATCCCAATACATTCCCATGATATTCTGATTATATCGTCCATATACTGTACTTATATAACTGGTTGAACTACACACACACACACACCGCCCGTTGTTTGCTCAGGAAATGCACTTGGAGATCCAGATTTGCGAGGCGATTTCAGGGAATTTCGGCCCAACATGTGGAGGTTTCTTGAGATTTTTGAATGGAAACAATATGGGGAAATATATACCACATAGATAGGAGGTTTTTATGGAAAGTATGGGAACATCTTCGAAGATAAATGGAGGTTTTTGTTGGAAGAGCATCTATTGCCACGTGCACCGGAGGGTTGGCTAACTGGTGGTTTGGGTTGTATTCCTCACAGGATTTCCCATCATGAAGCCACTTAGAAGTCCAAAAAGTGGTGATGTGACCATAGTGATGGGGGTTATATTATGTTATATTCCTACTTTCTGGGTGTTACCAGAAAAAAAACATAGAAAAAACCCTTCCCCAAAAAATTTGCCAAACGTGTTTCCCGGGTAGTTCGATGCCATTTCCCTCATTTCCAGGTTTCCAACTTTTCGACCCCCATGGCATCACCTGGGCAGATGCCATCGCGCTCGCCACTGCGATCTTTGCGGATCACCAACAAACATGGATCCGTGGGCACTGTGGTGTTGGAGGTGTGGTGGTGGTGGTGGTTGTGTTACTGCGGGGGTCCACTGGACAGTAGCATGGATGTACTTAGATTCTGAATCCTCCAAAATTGGATCCCACAATGGGAACCGCTCAGATCCAGATCGTAAATCATCAAAGACACTAA